AAACTTGAAAATTTCGCTTTTTTTCATTCAAATAATTTGTTTTCTTGGCATACAAAATGCCATTTCTTATGCCGGCAAAGCCAAGCGAAGCTTAATTGTGTTGACTTTCATTAATTAATTGCTGACAACTGGAATGAAGTTTAATCAGAAGCAGCAGCAGCAGCAGCAGCAGCAGCAGCAGCAGCAGCAGCAGCAGCAGCAGCAGCAGCAGCAGCAGCAGCAGCAGCAGCAGCAGCTGCTCTTCTATCATGCTTTACGACGACATTCGAACCCATCCATTGGCGCAGTTTCCTCTGTTTGGTTTCTCTTTGGCTTGGCATTTGTCGCAGTGCAAATATTTCATTGCATAGTTCTGTGCGGTCGCAATTTGTTGTGCAATTTATTAGATCATGCAGCTCTCCATGTGTATCTGTGTGTGGACAGGTAGTTGCATTGAAATATTTGATCGTATGGCGGGGAATTTTTATATTGGCATTGAAATAGCGAAATTGTTGCCAATATTGGAAAACTAAATAGCAGTCAGCCCAACAGACAGGCCAATATTTAACAAAAGGTGCGCTGCTTGGCCGAGGTAGTTAGTTAGCTGTATTGGGGTGTAGGTGTTGCTGCTTTGGTACAGCTGCAGCAGCAATGGCGATTTTCATTTCAGCCGTCGGCAACGGAAGTCAACTTACTTTCGTTGTCTGGAGCAAAGTCTGTGTCTGCTGCTTCCTGACCCTGAAACGGCTTCAGCTGTTCCAGCTGCTCCAAAAGCAGACACGCGCAATACTTTGGGCCTTGGCTACGGCTCGGGCTGTTTGTCTGGCGGCCGCGCTTGGCTGGCCATTGTGTTGCAGTTGCAGACGCAGCTGTAGCGCCAAAAGCAGCCAAATTTAAAGTCGCGACTGTTTGCTTAACATTACGCGTAGACAGAAAGTGCTCCAAAACCGTCGACTATCTCTCACTCTCAGCTCTCTCTCTCTCTCTCTCTTGTGCTCTCCTACCCTTTTAAGCCAAAATCAAATACATTTTGCTAGCACACATGCGACCAGGAAGCAGCAGCAGCAGCAGCAACCCTCAGTGGCACTTGAAATTGCAGTCGAGCTACTTATAAAGCTTCTATATATATATATATATATATATATATATATATATATATATATTCATTTTGCTGCTGGGGTTGCTGTCAGCACCAGGCACACTCATGCGGGCGTGTGGTAAAATCTGTAAACAAATGAGAGCCTGGGCTAACTTAATAAGTAACGCATTATTGCTGACTGCCTGCCCGGCTGACTGGGCCCCGGCGAAGGAGGCAAAACGAGTCCTGCGACCCAATGCCAAATAGTTTTTTGTGCAATCAAAACAAATACACAAAAAAAAGGGACTCGTCGCCGCCTTAATAAGCAATACTTAAGACTTAATGCAGGGCATAAAATATGCGCAGCATTTACCTCGCCGTCTGCTCGCCGTGGAGCATGCCCCGCTTCACATAAGGGTTGTGCAGCCACTGTCCGGGACGGTCTGCGCTGCTGTGATTTTTGATTTAAGCATAATTTTGCAAAATGCTCAGCGCTTGGCGCTTGGCGCTTGGCGGGACATCCCGCTGTGTCCTGCTGTGCGCTTTGAAATATTTTCAAGCATTTCTTCGAAGGGATTTTCTGCAATTTTCCCATCTTTTTTTCGCCCACTTTTTTGCCTTTTCTTTGCTCTGTCAGTCTCGCATTTAAATGTTTGCCAAATGAACAGAGAAACAGACAGAGCATTGCCATTGCCCAATTTCCATTTCAATGCGTCGCGTTGTCTTGGCATTTTTCGCTTTCAGCTCACTTCCTGGCGCTTGACAACGCTGCGTATGATTAATGTCTGCAGAAGATCAACGAAATAAAAAGCTGCTAAGAAATATCCGTTTAATAAATGACATCAAAAATTAAAACTCGCTGCTGGCGCGTAAATCAAATTTCTATTTGCACACACAGATACCAATGCACACACACACACACACACACACACACAAGTATTTACAAGGTGTTTTTGGGCAACAGCGCAACCTAATTTGACAGTCGGCCAGAAATAACTCAATTAGTGCCGCGACCCTTTTTTTTCTACAAGTTTGTGCACGACCCAAACACCAACTGAAGATGAAAAAAATATCCAAATATATATATATAGGGATGTATATATGTTTATCGTCAAAAAAGGTCAACCCTATCCGTGACGTTGTTAGCGGTAACGAGCGATTGCGTGGGTTGAGCTTGGAGCGTGGCATGCAGCAAAGGCCACTTGACTTCACTTTTTCCTTTTTTTTTTAATGCGGCAACTGAAGTAGCAATAGCGGCCGTGTATACCCTGTCTTGTGGGGGTTAATTGCTTTAATCTTTGATTATTTGAGTGAACTTGACTCTGAGCGGTACACACAGCGCTGTTCATAAAAATAGTAGCAGGCAACACAATATTTTGAAAACAATTTGAAATGAATATTATGATTAGCATATTTATTATTGATTTACATATTTTTTGATTCGAAAAAGGATCCAAAATAGTTGGTTCATAAAAATAGTAGTGGCTGCAAAAAAAGTAAAAAAAAAACATTTGCCATTTAGTCTAATTTGATATATTATGTTTTACACATAGTTGTTGGTCTAATACAAAGTTGTAAATCCAATTTTCTATATTACGGCCCTTTTCATGCCTTCTGAGCAACTTGCCGCAGCTCTCTTACAAGCGCCCCAAAGGTTTTCAGCCGGCTTTAGATCCGAGCAATGTATATCATTTCAATTGTAATTTCTTTGACATTTGCCAGTGTCTCAGCTGTCTGCCTGTCAAAGCTACAATAGAATCATCTTGAATATTTAATGATCTTAGGCAACAGATTAATAGACGACTGCAAATTGGCCGCTTGGCTCTCCTTATGGTCGTATTCAAGTTCCAGTTTGTTAAGGGTGCTTTAAGGGCTCGTTTAGGGTTCGTTTCTCAATGAAAAGTAAATTAAATTTAAATATAAATCATAGCTATATTTCATAAATAGATATATTACACAATTGCCTTTATGGGGGTTTCATGAACTTAAGCTAAAGCGAATCGTCCTAATCAAATTTAGCTCCAGCTTCCGCTTCATGAAGCTTTTTTGCAAGGGTATTTCGCATGTTTACGAAGTTAACTGTTATTTCTATATACTTATAAACGTGTACAAACATGAATAAGTATATATATATATATACGTATATTATATATATGGACTCTTCTAGATGTGTATGAACATGTTTGTCTACTCAAAATTTGCATTTCCACAAGCTGCGGCGCGGTTGCCTTGGCATCAATTTGGCATCGCTTACAGTTGGCAAACAGCGGCAGCCGTCGCTCTTTGGCATCATTACACAAGGAGAGAGTGAGCGAGAGGGCAAGAGAAAGAGACCTCTGCTCCCATTAAAGGCTCAGCACCCTGCAGTTTCAGCCCCTGCGGCTGCATTTTTGGTTCGAGGCGCATAAAAGTATGCTACGGCATTGTAAGAGGCCTCGAGATGTGCGACGCAACACAATACAACAAAAAAATACAGACTCTGAACTTCAAAAGACCGCCCACGGCAATTTTCAATTAAAAACGCCTACGCGAATGCTACAGAAATTTCTGTTCAGTTTTGTTTGCAAGCGAAATGCGTGGCAGCATGCGGGCTCCCCAGCCCTGCCAGTCCTGCCAGCACGGCCTGCCCTCGGGCTCTTTTAAAGTTGTGCCCAAAAAATTTTGTTATTGGCCTGACATGAGATTGCACTCAAGATGTGAGAGCATGTGTGTGTGGGTGTGTGTGTGTCTGTCTTTACAAGACTCCGCGCTAAATATGGCCAACAGCTGTATGTCAGAGAGACGTACAGCTGCGTAACTCAAGCATTGACAAAATACGAAATCTTCTGGCCCTGGTTTTTGCTGGCAGCCCACTTGAGCCCGCTTGAAAACGCGGCTAAATGCGGTCGAGTATGCTCTAGTTGTTCTTATTGTCTCGGCCCTTGTTAGCTCAAAGGTGAAGAGCTTAAGCTAGAAAGCAGCTGCAGTCCAAGCTGACACTTGTATAACAGTTTCCATGTTGCCTTGCTCCGTGCAATTGGGAACTTTGCTGGACCTGGCTTTCCTAACAAATTACAGCAGCAGTCACACAGTAGTGCCTATCTTCAACTTGTGCTTTTGTTTTTGTATAACAGCTTTTAGAAAAAGCTAATCAGACTTACAACTTTATTTGGAGCTTTAGGCATAATAGAAGAAATCTTGGGCTTTGTAAGGTGTCTTTTTTATTAGTTACTGTGCAGGTACACCTTGGTATAACACTTATTTCCGCTTAAGCCTTGCTGTACTCCTAGCTTTGTATAACAGTTATGAGCATAAATTCGATACAAAATATAATGAATATATTTACAATCTACAGCTGCTTTGTATTCCTGACTTATTACAAGCCTGCTTTTGTATAACAGTTATGATCGTAGGATGTTTCGAGTTTGCTTTTGTATCAAATATCAGTCATAAAATATACCTTAAACCCTGTTTTGCCTTAGTGGTAGCTGACTTAAGTATTTGTATAACTTGTTTTTATGCTTCATTCGTATAACAGTTAAATACTTCAACGAAGTTCAGCTTCATGAATAGCTCAATCTTAGGCACATTCTTACATACAAGCTAAACTAGAGTATAAGCAGTTTCCCAATATAACACTTTTATCTGTTGCAGTCTTTTCGTATAACAGATTATTATTGTGATGACAGCTTAGTTTCATGAACAGTATAAGATATCTAGATATATTAAAGTGCCTAAAACACATATTCCTTGAACGAAAAACCCATTATAACACTTTAAACTGTTGCAGTTCTTTCGTATAACAGTTACGAGCGTTTCGTATAACAGCCAGTTGTTTCTTTATTTGAACTGCCTAAAAGCCCAAAGGTATCTTAGACTGCTTAACAACATTGCACTATTTGTTTCAGCTGTATAACAGTTATAACAGTTATTAATTGAACGCTTCCCAATCTTATTCTTGCAGTCACGCACATCTCTCGTCTCTAGCTCGGAGGGCGGCATTTTGGCCGAAGGCGAGACGTCCAGCGAGGAGAGCTCCCGCGATTCCAGCGACAATTCGCCGCCCTGTGACTTGGGCCTGATGGAGCGATTGCTGTTAACGCATCCCATGTGGTTTCTGCCCGGCATTCAGCGCTCCGGCGCCGTGCACCTGCTCCAGGGCAAGGAGGAGGGGGTGAGTGTTGATAATTATGAATTTAGTGATAGCGTTTAATGAGGCAATTGCGAGCGTATGCAAAAATTATGCATATCCATAAAAACGCAATGGAATCAGCAAACACATCTGACCACAAAATTTGCACACAATTTGCAAGCCCAACAAATATTAAATAAAAAAAACCCTAAAAGAGAATCCCAATGCATGCAAACTGGCGCATTTCCATAAACAAATTGCAATCAATTAACGTGAATGTGAAAGGGCAGCGTGGGAGCGGCAGGAGGGCGGGGGCAGGGTGCGGGTGCGGTTCGAGCAATCGGGATTTGTGGTGCGTGTCCTGGACAAATGCACAGACAGAAGCACACAGATTCATTAATATTACGACAGCGACAACAATGCGAAGCCCTTTTAATTGTAAATGTATAAAGATAAACAAAGAAATGTTGCCAGGCATGCAGCAGGAGGTGGAGGCGTCGTCCGGGACTCGCGCTGCTGCGCTTGCAAATACATTGAAATTTATCTGGTTTGCCAGCAAAAGGCAGACGACGCTGTGCCACATGACAAGGGCGACGAGAGACAATAGCTAGCCAATGGGATTTATGCACACAAAACGTCTGGATGGGGCTGTCCAGCAGCAGTTGTTGGGGGCTGGCTGCTGCCGGTTGCTGGTCATTTGGTGATTCAAGTCGCTTTGCATAGACAATTGAAATTACAACGAGGCGAACAGGAGAAACGCCCAACAAATTGTACAGATTCAATAAGTTGCCAAGCCGGCAGAACAATGCCGAAACAGGACCAAGTCGCAATGTCCTTCGCAGCAATTATCACGTGTTCGGCAGACAGCCCGGCTGGCTGGCAGGATAACAAGCAAATGGTTTCAATGAATGCTCCATCGAATCGCCTGAATGCCAACTAAATTGCTTTCCATTTGTTAACCCAAGGCGAAGCCACCACCACACTACACACACAAGTGGGGGGGCGTGGCAAATGCATCAAAAATTGTAAATTATATGCTAACATTTGTATAGGCGAACGCACATCAGACTGCAGACTTGGCTCTAGCAAGTTGTCAACTTCATTGGAGCTGGCTTTAAAGAAAGGATTTCTTATTTTATTTATGTATATATATATATATATATATATATATATATATATATATATATATATATATATATATATATATATATAAAGCTAGAGACTTTCAATTCGAAATACATACTCATATAAGCCATACGCAATACGCGCTAATCATTTCCGTTAACTCATCCCATTTGCTTATCGATAAAAATCGATAAATTGACTTCGTTTTTTAAGCTTCGCTGGTATACTGTAAAGTTTGTTGACATCAGATTTATTCTGCAGGTTTCTCAAGAGATTTTTTATATCTTAAAGAATAGTAGAATGCATTTTTAAAATAATAGAATAGTTCAGGGTATCTGCTAGTCGAGTCGTTTCGACTATTTTTAATAGCAAAATAAAAGCGAAAAACATTCGCACATCAAAAGCAGATTTCTCGCTTTAATATAAAGCAAAACTTCTCTTGGTTTCATTGCTCGACTCCGAAATACCACGCAATGAGCTGTTACTCTTAGCTCTAGCTTTAGCTTAAATTTATGTGAGTGCCTTCGGATATACAGTGATTCAAGTTGATGCGATATGTAGGAGCTCCTTACCCTCGTATAGGGATGCAGGTGTAGCTGAAGCAGAAGTTCTTAAAAATTGCAATAGCTGATAGCGCATATGCCCCGTTTGTGCACATTTAATGCAGCCAGGGTGCAGTTTTTTTACGAAATTAAATATGTCGCTTTTAATTGAAACGCATTTTGTTGTCAAAAGGAAATATATGAATTTGACTATTTGAATATGGCTTTAATTAACTTTTCATTGAAATCAAATTCGAATTCAAATAAAAGTTTTCACATTTAAAACTGCGAGCCCAGAGAGCAAAAGGCAGCTGGCAACGTTTGGGCCAGCTTTATGCGGCTCTTAGACTCCAGTTAGGTTTATTGCAGCCCGCCTAAAAGCAGGCAACGGAACTTTCAATTACGAACTTTGCCTACTTTGCGCGCATTGTGAATGTGAAACTCGAAATTGTCGAGCAATGAATATTGAACGTGGCACGCGACGACCAGTGCCAGCAGCAGAAGAACAAGCACAAGCCCAGTGAGAGTGAGTGAAAAGCGTTTTTCAGCGTTTTTCAGCCTGGCAAATTTGCAATTGTCGAACGCGTCGCAACAATGGCGCATTGATTGCAGCCTGCGCCGGGCTGGGCAGCAGCCTGAGTTGGGGCCAAAAACTTTTCACTTTTTGCCAACTGCTGCACCTTCAGTCTGTCTCACTTTCTGGCCCCGCCTGCTCCACATTTATCTGGCTCCTTCTTGCAGTTTCTATTCGCCTATTGAAACGCTAATTGCATGCGTCGGCGTCGACGTCGGCGTCAGCGTCGCCGCCGGCAATTACACGCACCGTCACTCCACTGGCTGTCGCAGTTGTTGCTACGCATTTGTTTATGCGTTTAATAAAAAAGTATTTGCATAATTGAAATTGAAATTGAAGCAGCCGCTTCAAGTGGCCGCGCGCACCACGCCGAACCCCACACCACTCCAACCACAATGGGCTATGCGCTGTGACCCTCTGTGTAAACTGCATTGGTAAATGTTTGTAATTAAAAATCAATCAATATGTTTGAGCTACGAATGCGGCTAGGGCTATGGCAGTGGCAGTGGCAGTGGCAATGGCTACGGCTATGGCTGGCCATTTGTGGCAACACATGTGGCTGCAGCAACAACAGCCCTGCTTTTGGTCCATTTGCCTGCCTGGTATTTTAATTACTTGTTTTGCCTGCTGTCGGTTTCTATTTTTTTCTTGCCCGCTCTCTCTGTTCCTCCTACTCCCTCCCCCTACCTCCCTCCCTCCTTCTCTCTCTGTTTGGTTCTTTTATTTCAACTCCATCAATCATAAACAGTTGGAACCCGAAGCTGGCTAGGGGAGCGCCTGGTCACATGTGCGTATAGGATTCCTCCTGTAATTTCATGTTTTCAACTACCCTGTCAAATGGGCATATATGGGGTATGCTTGACTGTGCACAAATTTAATATATTTTTATATTTGATCGAAATCTTGCCCAAGTTCAGTTAATTTATTTACTTGAATTGAATTTCATAAAATATATTTTTATTATAATATAAAGTTAGACTTATCTGTACAAGGTAACTTCCCGTGCATAAGTCTTTAATTTACGTGTTCTTTTTTTGTTTTTCGGTCAATATTTGGCGTCAGGGATTTGTTATGCCGACCACAGAATGTAATTAGCAGCAAATGGCGACTGATGAAGGCTCCAATGGAGCAGCCGATCGGAAATGATTCTTTCGTGACATCATTAGCCAGTTCAAATAGAAGTGAAATATAAGAGCTGCAGCCGGCTCAGCTGCCAGACAGGGCGTATGCGTAATATTTAAATGCATTTGAAGTGCATTTGTTAATCTTTTTTGTCAGCCTCTGTTTGGCTTTTCGCATTTGATTTGATTTATGCTTGGCAATCGCAGCGCATTGCATAGCCGCAGACATCGGTTCACAATGAACTTGTTAAGCTGCAGCTGCAGCTGCAGCTGCTGCTGCTGCGCCACGCCCAATGAGCGCTTTGGCTGCTTAAATGGCCAATAGACAAGCGAACAAAGCAATCAAATTGAATTTTTTCGACCATGGCTTTGGCATTTTTCGGCTTTGTCGTTTGGCATGTGTTGAGGCACTCGGCTTACATGGCAAAAAGTCAGTTTTACCCAAAAGAAAAAAAAGGGGGATAAAAAAAGCACAAAAAAAAGCGAAATAAAATACAGCAGCCGAAGCGAAGGAAACAGTAGCAGCCACATAGGCGCAGACAGTTTTTATTTATCACCCGCAGTGCAGGGGGCGTGGCGAAGGGAAAGGGGCTGTTGCAGATGACTGGGAATGGGGCATGTTTGGGGGGTGAGCTTGGTTGCATGCCATCAACAGCAGCAGCCGTCGCAGCCACAGCTGATGAGCGATAAGGCCGCAGACAGCTGCAGTGTGGGCCCCACAAACATGTGTGTGCGTGTGAGTGTGAGTGTGTGTGTGTGTGTAAGCAGAGACATTCACACACTGGGGGTAAGTCCAGAATGACAAGCAAAGCCAAAGGGTTGCTGGCAACACCAACACCAACGCCATGGAGCACAGTCGGCATACAGCTCTATGGCTAAGTAGGCAGCTCTCAATTGAACTGCGTTCACAGCTTGCATAGTTAACATGCCATGAACACGGCTGGCCAGTTGCCAGCGACCTCTGATAGTTGGCGAGTGCGAGAATTGGGCAGCTGCCATATATGGCAAAATATTGTGATTGTCTTCACTTTTATTATCTAATAAATTCATGCACTTATTGTGTACGTATACATTTTAAAGTTGAAAGCATTTAAAATGGGAGTTTGGCTCTGTTTTAAAGACTCGGCGCACGTGGCGTATGCGCAACGTTCTGCATGCAGGCGGGCAGTGCAAGCTGTCTGCATGCATTTTGGCCATGCTCGTTATACAACAACAACGACAACAAACAGCAGGCGACACATTGTGCTAATGAATTATTAACAAAAATTATAATTGAAAGCCGTTTGGCAAATGAGTTTAATGCAGCCAAAACAAAGCAGCAGCAGCCACTGAGTGTGGGCCAATGATGCAAAGGCAAAATTGAAAAGCAAAGCTCTATACGGAAATCAAGGGAAATCAGCTTAAGGCAGCACCAGAGCTGGGCCGGTGGGTAGGAGCTCTTGAGCTGCAAAGCAAAAGCCGCTTAGTGGCCAATGCAACGAGCAGATTGTAGACGGGGGCACGGCCACAGCCAAGTGGACAGCAGAGAGCAAATGAATAGACTATGAAGCGCAAGCAGGTTGGGCAGAATGGGGGCAACAGTAGTGTCAGGGGTTGGTCAAGCTGTGGGCGCATTGTTGGACTTTGGCTTCAAATTCAATTTGCTATGCAAAGAATCCGAATCGCAAGTAAAACAAAAGAACTGAAAAACAGAAAAATGAAAAGAAAACGTAAAGAAAACGAAAATGAAAATGAAAAACAGCCAAATGAATGTCAATGAAATGCAAATGGGGTGCACAGCACGCAGCAGGGGATTGAGCTGGCAGCGCTGCCACTGCCCCTGCCACTGGCCCTGCCTCTGCCTCAACTAACAACGGTCAATTTCTATGGCAACAATGCTCACATTACCAATTTGAATAAAATATGAGATTTTTATTATATGCCGCGTCGCAGCTCGAGCGCAGTTCGATTATGAAGGCAAGGCAACGCCCTACTCTGTTTGATGGCTGGCCAATGGCTAGATAATAGAGCTCCAGTTGGAGTCGTTGCTTGGCATAATTTCATTATTTTATGCAGTTTTTCATTTGAACGGCTCAATGTGGCCGCTGCCTAACCACACAAACCGCCGACGCTCATTAGGCGTCTCCCTTGGGCTGCACTGTCTGGTGTTAAATTGCTGCCTCCAGCCGTAGCTGGGTCGTCCCCTGCAGAGCAGGGCAGGGGCTACGGTTTCAATTTCAAGTTCTGAAAGGATATGTAAATTTGTGCCCGGACATGAACGCAACACGTTTCGAAAAGTTGTCAATGGCTGCCGTGGCCCGCATAAGTAGGCAACACTTTTGCTGCGACTCCACTTGGCAAATTATGCAGAGCAAATCTTTTGTAGATGCTGCCAGCTTAAGCCATCAAAATTTATTGAAATTGTTTACACTTTTGCATACTCCAAATAGAACTAAGTCCAACGACTCGGACAAACAGACTCAAAGATTCAGTTAACTTGAACAGATGTATGTGTATGTGATGAGTAGCTGCATGTGGCAGGTTGCAACCAAATGGTGGCATGCCACACACGTAGCTGAACAACATCTCAGCCCTGCCCATTGGCCAACTCTAGCTGTATTTGGCTACTTGCCCGCCGCATGGCATGCGGAAGCCATTAACTTGTCAAGATTTGATGTCAAGCATTTGATGTGCGCCATGATTGAAAAGACAGACAGTGCGAGAAAGAGACAGAGAGAGAGAGAGAGAGAGAGGGAGAGGGAGAGCAAGGGGAATGACAGTTGGCTTGAAAGGGACAAGTGCATGCCTGTAGATAAAATAGAAGTTGAAGCATGATTTGATGATTATAGACTAGACTTGGCGCTCGAACGAGCGCAACGAGTCTATTTGCGGCCCGAAACTTGATTACAACATCCCAATAGTGGCTGGGCAGCAGGCAGGGCAGGGCAGGGGCAAAGATGCCTCTGCACTTTCGATTCGTGGCCAGGAACCGCAAAGCGACCAGACGACGGCACAGCAGCTGCGGCACAACGTGTGGCGCATAGTGTGCAGGCAGGACAACGGCGGGCAAGGGCCCCAGGGCCTGCGATAATAAAAAGGGGTTGTCGCTGCCGGCATTTTCAGCGAATGCGGCCCAGAGGCAAACGCGTCAAATAGTCGAGAAATGGAAACCGGAAATGTTGTTAGCCCAAACCCGCCTGCAAAATTGCAGTTGTACCGGAAATGGGCGCAAATGCGACAACGACAAGGCTATTCCCCAAGAGGGGGGCCATGTGTGTGCGTGTGTGTGCCTGTGTGTGTTGAGTGCCATGTGATTTGTGCGCTATGCAATAATTTACATGCAATTAAATGCCCAGCAGATGCAATGAGCAAGCCGCAAACAGCGCCAAAACACTTTCGCCTAGATTTCGCTATTGACTATGCAAATTCACTCTCTCTGTCTCCTTCTATATATATATATATATATATATATATATATATATATATATATATCAAAGACTTTCGGCAAAGTAGCAATTGCTTTTGGGAACACAAAATGATTTTTGGTAAATGGCACATTCTTTGGCAGTTCCAGCTGCCTCTGTCTGCTGCGCTCGCTGTCAGCTACACAACATTTAAATTTACGATGCACAGCCACGCCCCCAATAAACGCCTCTTTTTGCGGCAAAAGTGCAAGTGAAATTATTAATGTTGGCATGTAAGATTTCGGTGAGTGTTGACCACAGCTGGCAGCGGGAGTGAGTGGGAGTGAGAGAAATGGACTGGGCGCTGCGACAGCCGACAGACGACAGACGACAATCAACGAACTGTTAAGTGAAAATGCATTTGGAATTGCAATGCAAGTTAAATGCATTTCTAGGACTTCCTCTTTCGTCTGAGCTGAATGCTAAAAGCTGCCAATGCACTCTGCGCTACCTGTGCAATGCAATGAACTGGGCGTGGCCAGACGCCCATATGCAAAAGCCCTAAGGGCAATTGATTGCAACTATTGTTTGGGCTGCAAACAATGCCAACGATTTACGTTATATATATATATATATATATATATATATATATATATATATATATATATATATATATATATATATATATATATATATATTGATGTATCGACATGCGTCTGCTGCCTTTTAAATGGCGTTACGCCTTTTTATTGTTAGCCAAATGCGCTTAAATTTGTCAAGGCGTCCATAAAATGCAGACAGGCACAAGCTGTCTCTCTCTCTCTCTATCTGTCTCTCTCTCTCTCTCTCTCTCAGTCCCTGCCTGTGCATGCAGACTGTATGCTTTGCGCATTATCCTTGCTTGTTAAGACATTTTTACGCTCGTTTTTGTCCTTCGCAAATTGCATTTCCGTGACGGGTCAACTGGAGCCTCTGCCTCTGCCTCTGCCTCTGTCTCTGGCTCTGCCTCTGCACTCTCTTGACCACATTATTGAATCAGTATATAATGCTCTTTCGTGTTTTGCAGCTCGCAGCTCGCAGCATGCCAGCAGCCACGCCCCCACACCCCCAGCCCTCGCCCATCGTCTGCGTCTAATAAAATCAACAGCCGAAAAGTATGCTTTAAGAAGCGCTGCAATGCCAAGCCAAATCAAATAAACAATCGCTGGGCTGAGCATAGGGCGCTGCTGGCATCCACTCGTGGAGCCCGCCAACCCAGCAGCTCATCATATCAAGAAGCATTTCAGCTTCTTCTTCTTCTTTTTTGCTATTGCTATCTTGTGTATGGCGCTGCTTTTCGCTTTCAGCTGCTTATTGAAAACTCGCACAGAAATCATAAACAACGCTGCGGGGCGTCCATATTCGTTTGTAAACACCCCACAAGCCGGGCATAGCCTAACGCTCCCGCTCCCGCTCCTATTTTTTTTTTTTTTTTTGAGCAACCCCGCCCACTTTAAACCTATGTAGCATGCCGCCCCCGCTACAGTTGGCATTTATTGAAATCTGAAAAAATATAATTGCATGCTTTTAGGGTTGCTGAGCAAAATTGAAAGGCACACACACACACACACGCACAACTGAATTGCTTAGCAAAACAGAGCACACACACATGCACAATGAAAGCAAAGGAAACGCGTTCAAGTTCCTTAAGTCTCAATCTGCAGCAATTCGAGTTGAAAAGAAATTTATAATTCTTAAGCTATATCAGAAAAAGAAGAAATATTACAAATATATATATATATATATATATTATTTTTATGTAAATATATTATAATTATTACAGATTTTATATAGAAATTAGAACAGTTCTCGTGTTAAGTCTTAAGGAATGCTGGCCTTAAAATATATTTCAATTCGACTTAGAAACAATGCTGAAGTAAAGTAGGCTGGCTATCAAACGCTGCCTAGAAGAAGCACAGATTAAATGTGCTTGACCGAACTTAGTATATCTTAATTAAGAAATGGCTCTTTAAGCCAGCATATACAATCAATCTGGACTTATTTATGACTCTTATGTATTTGTATTTGTCCAAAGTTCAAGTGCTGCTCATCGCAGGAGCCTATCTAGGGAATCTTTTGAAATGCTCCTTGCTTATAGTTGGCCAGCTTAGATGCAAGGTAAATGGTCTGCCCAAAGCCCAAAGCACTCATTCCTACCAAGCACTCAGCTCCAGTGCAGCCTCTTAGAAGTGATTCTTAAAGCAAGGCTCTTATAGAAGTTCTATGTTTACTTGAACTAAATTTGTTATAGAAATGTCTTGGCTTGCTCAACTGCAGACGACTTGAGGCATTTAGCTGCAGCTAGCTACAATCTCTTTCTAATCTTAATGATTGACATTTTGCTGGAACTCAGCTTGAAGCTGAAATAATTTTTGGGGCTTGTGCGTGGCTTTAGGTGAAGCGCTCATTATGAAAACTTTTTGCAGGCGATTAATGGAGGCGCGTGGTACTGGCTGGTGGTGCAGCAACTGCGCCTCAGCCCGTGGACATCGTGGCTGCCATTTGACCAGGTTCGGGAGTTTGTCCCAGGCACCATTTTGCGCTTGCCACACGACTTGGCTGCTTTGTCGCAGCGTCTGCAAAGTTTTCTTAGCCCGCCACGACAAAGACTTGGCCAAGCGTTGGGGTGGCTCTAAGGCGTTGCATACTTGGAGGCGCCGCGGCGTATGCAATACCAATTTATCATTCATCATTGTTTTTCTGGAAAATGGAAAATGGGAAATGGGAAATTTATGTGCGCGCATTTTTAACGCGACATTTAACGCGAAAAGCAGGCGGGGAGCAGTCGGAAGTCGATGTGAAAGGAATCAGGCGCTGATTTACGTGGCGGAATTATGACAACAGCTCACTTAGCCCCAGCTGCTTACTCATTCTGCGCTTTTGCTCTTGTCCTTGCAGACGTTCATTGTGCGTGGTTCCAGTCAGCCGAACACGATGGCCGTGTCGGTGCGTCTGCCCCAGGACACGGGCCCTTACATCGAACACTATCTGATCCAGTCGCAGGACAACATACTCAGCCTGGAGAGCTCACGCTTCAAGTTCGGCTCAATCCCGGCCCTGATCGCTCACTATGCTCAGTGCTGTGACGAGCTGCCCGTGCAGCTGATGCTGCCACGAGTGTTGCGCGAGGCCAACAATCGCAAGAAGCTCTCCTCACTGGCGCTGCTCGGCCAGGAGTTCTGGAGCTATGCCAGCAGTCCGGCAGTGCTGGGCCCGCCCGTTGCCGCCAAGACGAATATCGCTGCCTCCGAGCAGCAGCAGCAGCAGCAGCAGCAGCAGCAACAGCTGCTGGATGCCAAGTCGCCGCTGTCGCTCACAGAGACAAGCGGTCTGGGCACAGCCACATTCTTTAGCGATGCTCTGGCGGCCAAGCCGCCAGCCGCGGCACCACCACAGTCACTGTTCAGTCCCACGGGCAGCGGCCAGCTGCTGGGCTTCTTTAGCCAGGCGGGCACGCCGTCGGACACCAATTCGAGCATGAGTTCGTTCACGACCAGCGGCGGCCAGCATATGCAGCTGCTGAGTCCCAATTCCGTGGACTCCGTCATATTGACCATGTCGCCGGTGGATGCGCAGGGCTATCTGCCGGGTGCTGGCGGTGCCTTGGAGCCGCCAATGCAGCCGCATGGCTGCAACAATTTGAGCACATTCAAGACGACATCGGCGGCAGTGGCCAGTATTACGGAGCTGGAACAGGTGCGTCCACAGCGACCGAAGCCGCCAAACACACTGAATCTCAAGCCGCCGGCACCGCCGATGCGCTGGGCCAAGCCCCACTCGCCGGATCAGTTGGGCAACAACTTTACGGTGACCACCACGGTCACATTTTCCATGGAGAACAACAACAGCAGTGGCAACAATGGCAGCCAAGTGGCCAAGCCAAATCCCGCACAGTTTGTGGAGGTAACAACGCCTGCTTCGAGCAATCCGTTCAATGCGCTGCTCAACTCGCAGGCCAGCACCAGCACGTTCCAGACCTTTGCCAAGCGCCTGTCGCCCGAGGGCGAGTGCAAGGATACGCTCTCATCGCAGGGCTCCTCTTCGAACGACAGTCGCTGGCAATCGCAGTCGCAATCGCAATCGCAGTCGCAGTCGCAGTCGAGTCGCGACTCCAGCCACAGTCAGCGCAAGATGCTATCCCCGATGACACCCAACGGCGCTGGCCTCCTGCCCTCGGTTGGCAGCACCAGCAGCAGCAGCAGCAAGTCACGCAAATCGCGCATTCGCAAGGAGTCCAAGCACTATCAGGAATCCGACATACTGGAGAGTCCGCCAGCGCAGTATTGCGCCAGCGCCCTGAGCGACAAGATCAGCGACTACGAGGATGTCTGGACGCACGATCCCAGCGATCGGGCCAGTCTGCTAACTAGCTTCAAGCCGGGTCTGGACAACGGCGGTGTTTCGAACCGACGACCCGATCTGCTGGCCGAGACACGTAAGTAGAGAGTGTGACTGAAGCTGGCAGAGATTGTTTATTAATCCCATGATTCTCTCTATCCTGCAGCCAGCACACCCACACAGCAGCTGCTGTCACCCTGCGAAGAGACCAGTGCTGCACACGACAGCAGCCAGCAGCTGTTGCAGTTCTCTGGCGATGCGCCGGCACGCTCCCGGGCTGGTCTCCTCTTGCTCAATCTGAGCAATCCGGCGCCAGCTATGACACAGTCGCTCACGGAGCAGAGCGCCGCCGACGATGGCGGCGATACGACGCCGACTGCTGCACAAACGCCTGGCTCGCGCAGCAAACAGGGCAGTCCACTGTATGCGGAGCCAGCGGATGCACTGCGTCAGGCCGGTTTGACCAACGCGGCGGCGGCAATTTTGCGGCGACAGCAGCGCAGCCAGCTGCTGCCCGCCAATCAGCGGCATTCGGAGCCGCTCAAGGGTGGCCATGCAGCGGCGGCTGTTCCACTGCTGCTCCCCTCCGATCTGGAGAAGTTGGCCGGCAGCCTGGATGAGCTGAAGCAGAAGCCGAAGCCCATGGCTCAGCAGGCAGCGAAGCGCGGACGCAATCGCATCGATCACTGGCAGCTGGACAGCAGCTGGGAGTTTATGACCAAGCAGGAGACCAACGGCGGTGGCGACTATGACACAACTGTCGACTGGCAGGAGAAGGAGAATTCGCTGGGACGTGACAAGGAGGGTTCCAAGAAGCGACCGCTCACCGTGCACCAGATCATTGTCAAGCGTCTGCCCGACCTTAATCTGCCGGAGCTAGTGCGCTGCTCGACTCCGCCCCAGAGTCAGGCGACAACGACGACGACGACAACGACGAGCACAGCTCCGCTGCAGGAGAAGTCAAATGCCGATGGCAGCCAAAAGTCATTCCAGAGCCAAAACGGCTGTCGCCTGTCCTCCTACGACAACGTGGAACGCAACTGTGCCGCCTTCTGTCAGACCTACTACGGCGGCATCGACTCGGCGCAGTCAGACGATGGAACCGTGTTCTCCGAGCCCTGGGACTCCTCGCAATGGGACTCCTTCATGCCGATGCAGGATGGTAAACCTTGAATCCCATTAACAAGCCCCTGATAACCGTTTGCCTAATCGCTGCTCTCAAATCGTTCCAGATGCCACCATCAATTCGGATACCATACATCTGTCGAAGTGCCGGCCGGCGCTCTCGGAGGACGACACCATCGTTGAGGAATACAGCAGCACCAAAGACGGCAGCAACAGCAGCTGCAACCAGGATACGCTCAAGGCCAACAGAAACGCCACCAGCGCCGGCGCTGGCAGCAACAACAACAAGGCGCTGCGACCCAAGGTAGCGACCATACTAAGGAATCCAAGCATGCGGGATCGCGAGATACTATGTGAGTACCTAGAAGAGATAAGTAGGCAAATTTGAGAGTGGCCAACGTCAGTAGATCGAGCTGATGAGTCTAGCAAGCAATCCAATAACAGCTCAGGCATCTTTGCCAGACTTCAAAAGGAATCCGTTGACAACAAATTATAAAGCTTCAGGCGGAACTCTTCCATCTGTCTGGATCTTCACGCTTTGATCGCCAGATTTAGTATAGTCATTGCAACTCTGTATACCCTCGCCGGCACTTTATCAATGGGCACTCGATCGTCACCATCATCGTATGCTCAATTGCAATCGCTTGTTATTGTTGCATCATACTACGGTCCATGGCCTCCATGGAGCAGCAGACAAAAGCAAATACGGCGCGATCACTGGGACGACGCGTCGTCATCGTGCGCCTCTATTGACTGATTGATTGATTGATTGATTGAGCGCACGAGTTGCCCGCAAACGAAGCAGCCACGAGCGAAGCTCTGTCATTCAGCGAACTGCCTCGAACTGGTAAACCCAAACTAAGCGGATTATCAGCGACGGCTGCTGCTGCGCTCTGCCCCAGCCTCCGCCTCCGCCTCTGACCCGACTGCAAGTTTGTAAGGCTTTGCAGTCTGCAGACTACAAAGTCTTTGCCGAAACTTATCTGGCGCGCAACGCGCTCTGCATCGACATACATGCAGCATGAAAATGAAATGCGTCGCAGTTAGCCAGCTAAAACAAATTTGATAAGTTTCATAGAATTATATAAATATTGGTGCAGTCATGCACTTTGGAATGTAAACTGGTCGTCGCTGCTGCTGGCGCTGCTGTCGCTGGCAGCGTTTTTATCAGCGCGCGTTTTAAAACGCGCCGTGTCTCTCGCCGCTCAATGGGATGCGTAATTTGCCAGCCAAGCACAAGACTCGATCGATTAGAATGTTCAAGCCAGACTTTTCGAATCTCTGCTTCGTTCTATTTTAGGTCAGCGCATGGCTGATGAAATACACGCACGAACACACAATGGGCAGTGGGTGGTATTTTATTTTTGGTGTCACACTATTTTTGGATTTGGGTCCACTCTAGACAGCACGTGTTCCGTCGACTTTTCTCCGGCTAAACTCAGCCGTGTTTGCTCAACAAATCTTGTAAAAAGTCATTTTAGTTGTCAAGCGTCGCCGCCGATAAGCAACTGGATAAGCAAGCGGCTGTTGAAACGAGGTTCGCTGAACTCACCAAATCAAATTCCACTAAAAGTCACCTTGATATATACTCTTATCTTGAAGAACACTGGGGCCATAAATAAGCCAAACGGAAATCATAGCAAATTCTGCTCAAGGGCACCTTAAAGCGTGGTTAGATCAATCGAGCTTCGAGTGTGCCAACTTGAAGAGTGAATCTGTGATCTGGATCCGCAGCTCTGTAGTTACGAAAGCCTAGCTTTAGCTCTCCTATAGTTTACCCAAACTTTTCATTTCAATTAAAAGTTCAACTGTCAGATTAGTCGAGTCGCCATCTGAGCTTAGAATCAATGACTTGATCGCAGTCTTATCTTGCCTAGTTCAACATTTCAGTTAGTTCTGTGTATTGGAATCGCATTTCTTTAATCTTATGCAGGCTGTTTAAGGAACACTTCCTGCACTGCACGCAGGCACCTTCAGACAAACCTCCAATCCAAAGGTTTTTCCGAACTGCGCAGCAAAATAACAAAAAAAAAAACCAATTGCTCAAGTTGAGTTTAGGCCTCATAAAGCTGATGCAATCGCAAGGTGCAATTGCATTAGAGCGGGATCTCTCGCCGTTTTTCATTGTTGTCGATTGTCGTCTGTCGCTGTTTGCCGCATCGATCGATCGAGGAATCTTTCATTGTTGTTGGCAACGTCATCGTCCAGAGGCATTTGACAGTCTGTCTTAAGGCACAGCGAAACAGAGCGAGAGAGGGACAGTCTTTACTCTCCCTCCCTCCCTCTCTCTCTCTCTCTCCGACTGTGTCTCGTGCTTTCCTTCTCCCTTGCTCTGTTTTGATTTTGTAATTTGTCACAGTCACGGTATTTGCTTGCGCTCAAGTCTCGAGCATGAATCAACTCTTTATCTCCACAGCCTTGCATAACGCGCTGCGCGCTCTCGTGCCCAAAAACAGAATCGCGACTCGCGCTTGCATTTAGCGCAATCTGTGAAATACCAGCTACCTGCAGCAGGTATTTTGGCACATGTGCGTATTGAATGATTTGTGCATTTAGCTAGCCAAAGCCCTAACTCAGCCGCATTTGCGCTTGAGGTTTCACAAGTCGCTCGGCTCGGCCGCTGACTCAGTGGCATTTCCTCTTGACACAGTTTCGCGCACACCCAGGCAGCTGTTCTGATAAGGTTGCGCCTTTCGCTTAGGACTTGCGCAAAGCGGTTCGCCAGGTACTGCCCTCCCGGAAATTCCCACCGCACCCGGATCAGCAGTATCGATCCCGAGCAGGCGCTACCTGTACGGGCGAACAGGCAGGCGATTAGATGGGGCACCCGGGACTTTGACAAATTGAGGTCGCAGCGCCTCGTAATTTAGGCCGCGGCTGCGACGTCGTCGCGCTAGTTGCTATCTTTTCAGCGTCGCTGTCGCCGTCGCCGTCGACGTCGACGTCATCGTTATCGTTGTTGCAGTCTTATAAACTAATGCGTATGAAGTTCAGCATTAGTTTTGCATTGGCCGCGTTTAGAGCAACACAACACGACGCGACGCGACGCGACAGCAATAATAATAACAATAACAATTCGCCACAACAACAATAAAATTAATAATTCGCAATAGAAATCGATCTGCAACGGCGATTGTCGATCGATAACAGCAGCAGCAGCCGCAGCAGCAGCCCCGCCTTCCGCCATCAGCAGCAGCGTGTGCCGATGAGAAACTTGCGTTTTCGCCAATTCGTTTTAGCTGGCAAAAATCGCTACAGAATCCATCATGAGCTGGTTCAGAAGATCGTCGCGCGCACACCCCGCGAACCGCCCCGCCCCCGATGCCGCCAGGAGCGTGGCGAATAGCGGCACAGATATGTCCAAATCGTTGTCCAGCCTGGATGAGCAGCGCATCGAGCGACTCGAGCCAGAGGAATTCTTTCACGATCCCGTCCACGTGCGTCACTACAAGGAGGAGGCGAAGTTCCTCAGCTTCATGGCCGACTGGGAGATAGTCGATCATCCGCAGCAGGAGAATTACTTCTCCGCTGACTTCGAGGAGGAGCTCCTGCAGCAGCGCACACACACTGTCCCATACACACACACACACACACACACACGCACACACACACTGGAGGACAAGCTGGCCGCATGCTCGTCCGCATCGCCGCAGCCGATGCCGCCGCTGGGGCGCAAACGCAAATTTCTGGAGCTGCTGTTCGTCGACAACATACGAACGGGCATTGCGCTGCCGAGCGATGGCAATCAGCTGCAGCAGCAGCAGCAGCAGCGGCAGCAGCAATCAACGGTGCTGTGCAAGAAATCAAAGTACGCCAGCAGCAGCTTGTCGAGCATCGGTTCCATTTCGACGACAACTGCAACGACAATCTCAACGACGACGGCCACCTGTCCGCAACAGGTGCTCAAAGACTGCCGCATCAATCGCAAGCAACTGAAGACTGAAGCACTCGCCGGGTCCATTATGGGCGCCATTGGCAAATGCCCCAATTCCGAGCTGACAGCCGTTGGCTCCGTCAGCCTGGACGCCTGCCATCCCGGCGAGCGTAATACCTGTGATCACTATGATATCAAGCAATTCTTTCACCTGGACGACCAGGGCAACATACTCCTCAACATGGCGCACATTGTCGAGGGCCGAGCCCAGGGCTTGGCCCGTCAATCGCAAAGCCGCCGCCTCTATCGGCGCTATCGACGCGGCTGCGAATGCGCCGACGAGAAGCACTGCGATAAGCCTGGCTGTTGCATGCCTCTCATCTTGTTGCTGCGATTGCTCTGTAGACTGTTATTCGGTAAGACGCTGGACAGAATGTGTCAACGCTGACTCATAGGCTAGCCATCTATCTCTCTATCTATCTGCGCATATATATACATCCGTCTCGCGTGCGATCTATGCCATGCCTTGTCCATACTGACGTCTCGTTTGCTTCTTTTCAGGCCATCCTCGCAATAAGATGAACATTCAGAGCGTCGGACCTGGCGACTCGCTGCGCGCGTACACGCTGCAGTTGGCCCAAGATCCGAGCTCCACGTTTGCCCGCAACATTGAGAACTTCATTAGCTGCACCAAGGAGTCAAGGGAGGCGGCGCCACAGGTGGTAATGCGCAACATGCGCCAGTTCATGAGCGGCATGAAAAACTATTTGGTTAAGCATGGCGAGGGCAAGTTTCATGCGGAGCTGGAGTCGGCGCGTGCCCGCCTCAAGTCCGATGAGTTTCTCAATTTGGACGCCATGCTGGAGACGGTGATGCATCAGCTGGTGGTGCTGCCACTGCGCGAACATCTCTATGGCATCTTTGTGGACTACTACAAGCGCAGCGAGGACATCCAGCTGCTCGCCCAGAATGTGCGCTACGCCTACGAACGGGATGCTTCCGATTTTGGGATACGTGCCACAGTGACGCCGCCGTCACAGTCGGCGCTGCGTCTCATTGCCAATCTGCTGTGGCGCCTCCAAGAGGCCGAATTGCCGCTGGACAAGCTGGAGCTCTTCCTGTGCGTCATTTCGACCGTGTTCGATGCGACAGGCTGCCCACGCGGCCAGCAGCTGGGCGCCGATGACTTTCTGCCCGTGCTGGTCTATGTGGTGGCCAAGTGCGGCTTTGTCGGTGCCGAAATCGAGGCGGAGTTCATGTGGGGTCTGCTGCAGCCGACGCTGCTCAATGGAGAGCCCGGCTACTACCTCACCGCCCTCTGCAGCGCCGTGCAAGTGCTCAAGACGTTCATGGCATCCGAGGGCGAGAGCGGCAGCGGCTCCCTCGACGTGAGTACAGCGAACCAAAAGAGCAACTGAATACATGCTTATCATCCATCTCTCTCCCTCTCTCTCTCGTTCTCTGTTATAGTGGCGCTCTAGCTGCTTGCCGGCCTGCTCGAGCGTGTTGCGCGTCATCATACCGGACGAGTGCAATGGCTCGCTGCAAACACGAACGCTGCCCGTGCGGCCGCATACGACGACGCGCGAAGTGTGCCGCATCATCGCGCATAAGGCGCGCATCACCAATCCGCAGGACTATGCGCTGTTCAAGCTGGTCGACGGCGAGGAGACGCTGCTCACCGATGCCGAATGCCCGCAGGATGCGCGCCTGGCTGCCAAGGGCAAGCATTGCATGCTCGCCTATAAGCGCATCGATGCCAAGATCGCTTGGCCCACAGCCGCACAGCCGGGCAGTCATTGATGCCACCGGCCATGGCCCCTTCCCTATACCCATACCACCCATGCCAATCGCCCTCGTCGCCGCCCCTGTCCCTGTCCGTGCCCAACGGCCCCATCTTGCTCACTAACAAGCATATTTGATTAATAATTTATTATTATTACATTAAAATATACTTAGTAGCCTGTAAGTAAAGCTAATTAACGCTAATACATCTAATGTGTACTAAACAACAACAGTATTGAATTAAGAGCGGTTTTTTTATCTCATCTCTCGCCAATAACTCGATCATCAAAACGACATCAAGAAGAAGAGAAGGAACAACTTGTTCGCACCCATTTTTTTGCTAATAAATATACGAATATAAACATATAAACAAAACAAAAACTATGTATACAACTATATATACTATATAGATCTATATACATCTATATACACAAATATATGCGTAGTTTGTAGTGGGCCGGAGGTATAGCCAAAGGCCATTTATTCTAGAGCTAACCCCAAACACAAGCAGACAGACAGACACACACACACACACGCACACACAAAGAGACACATCTATCTATACGTATTGCAATCCTTATAGGCAAAAACATATACTATCTATAAACCATATAACAATCTACGACCAATTGCAGCAACAAAAAAACAATCACCATTTTAATGCAACACACACATACATAGCAAGGCATTTATAGCTATCTTTTTTTTACTTGGGAGGGTTATAAAACAATTAATCACAACATCTAACACATTTACAAATATATATATATATTAACGATTAACTTAAATATTTATGTACAACTAAAACCAACAACTGCTATCGGAAAATGTATTTTTTTTGTTTTTTTTTTTTTAATGTATACTTTGTAAAATATGGCAAACCACAAGGCAATTATTTAATTAATAATAAACAATAATAATGGAAAGTTTTACCATTTGTCTTTCTTTTCAATTAAAATCGCGTGCAGCCGCAAAGTAGGCAACGATTTTTGCCGCAGGCAATTGATATGCAGTCAGCCGTGACTGAAATATTTTGTAGCATACTTTTGAGCGGATGTGATATTTGCACGTATTTGTGGCGTTCTAAAAGGCTTTTAAATAAATAAGAAGTTGGATACGATTAGCGTACTTGCTATCAAGCCTAGTCATGCTTTCAATGCAATTCCAAGGAAATTAATACTTTCAAGTCTAGTCTAGTCAGTTAAACATACTATATGTAAGTATATTCTAATCCTTTATTTGCTTCGCTTTATATTTTCTGTACACCTAAAATCAAGATTAGCTTTGTTTGCATTGTTTTAACAGCTAAACAATCTACATATATTGCTTACGATCTCGATTTTTTTAGCCATACAGCCTATATGTATATGGAACCTGGCTCGGGGGCTATCGCAAATGTGGCGCCCGTCTAAAGACGTGTCTCGACTTTCAACACAGTGGGTTCAGCGCTAAATGGAAGACGACGCGACAGATAATTGATAATTGATTGCCAAATTGATTATGGAACCAGGTTTCAAAATCGACTCGGCTCGAGCGCACACATGGGCAATTTTACTATTGGAAAATTAATTATCAACATTTGCGCCTCGACCTATTGTGCCTATGTCATTGTGTACATGTGCCTCTATATATTTTGTTTATTTTTTTTTCGCCTAATGCAGCAGTTTCGAAAGAAAGAAAGACAACGATTTTATTGTCCCAGCGCTATTTTAATCGTTAGCTCAACTATTGCTGCTGCTGTTGTTGTTGTTGCTGTTTTTATATGGAATATTTTATTTTGATGTCACATTAATTTAGGTGTGATAAGGACCACACACAAGTGACGGCCGCTAAACTCGCGAATACAAATGAAATACGTGCGCAAAAACGCGCGCAAAACGCGCACGCGACTTAAGCCGCGCTCAATTGTATCCCCAAGTGCTGAGACAAACGGCCGCCACTGTCCCCCGTTATTGGTACTTAGAACGCCAGCTGCTCATAAATGGCAACAATTTCATTTGATAATTGATAGACATAAGTGTGTTTGTGTCGCAAATGTCACTTCAGTCCCTATATGTGTGAGCAACGTATAAATCGCAAACGGATCGCTGTCAAAGTCGTATTAAACGCTCTTTACTTATATTTGTGTATTTTTGGCTTGTTGCTTATCAGCGCCAGTGCCGTCCCCGTCGCCGTCGGAGACAACAACAAAACCATAACAATAACAACAGCGACAACAGCAACGAATAATAAAAAATTGGCAATGCCAAAGTCGAGAATGCCCGACTAGAAGAATTTGCAAATGGCCAGCAAACTTCATTAATTGTTAAGCCATATTTCTGCAATTAATTAGAATTTATAATTAAATTTCCTTTTAAACATATTTTTTTAGTTTTGAAAATTGATTTAATAATTTTTTTATTTTTTGAGAATTTTTTGAGTTTATTTCTTTTATTTTTGAAAGTTTTCTTTATAGTAAAACTGATATAAAAAGTTATATTCATAGGCCTTTGGCTGAAGCTCTGAAACTCTTTACCAAAACTCAGCTCATTTTTGTGATTAGTAAAGATTTTCTAAGATATTAAAATATATAAATGTTTTTTTACCCATTGCCAAGCCAAAATATATCTCTAATTAGATAAGCTTGCATTCTGAGCACTAATAATTAGCTAAGTCGCTGAACTGTTACAAACTATGGCACACAAATAATATGATCCGCCAGCTTAGCCAGTTTGAGTGGGTTGAGGGTATGGAAAGGTCCAAGACGCGATAATAAAACATTTTTGCACCCCAGATGTGCTCAGCTGTTCGAACCAGACGCCGAAGTTGAAGTCGGGGGGACCTACCAGACCGGAGGGAGGCCGAGGGTCTGCGGATTCTTTGATTAGACGCACTTAAGTACAAAGCAACAACAGCCGTGTCAACTGCTAATAAATATACACAGTATCACTGTGTGTGTGTGTGTGTGTGACTGTGAGTGTGAGTCAAGTGGGCTGTTCAATAAATTCGTCGCTGGCGTCGAGTGCTCCAGAGTTCGCTTGATAAGTAGCGATCATAAACGTCGTGGGCACGTCGAGCCGTTCGATACGACTGACCCAACGGACTGACGGATGGCAACTATGAATCATAATCCTTAACATCTCAGGATGCCATGCGCTCAACTGAGAACTGACCTACGAAATTGTGCATGAAGAATAATAATAAACTCTTATTTATTATAGCCATTTAATAATCTCATTTATTTATATGGTGTTCCCACTCTCAATTGTTGTTCATAAATTTATATTTAGATTTTATAATAATCAAAATAATTTCACTTTCAATTGACACTCAAATTAAAGCAGAATTAATTCAATTTCTAAACGTAGAATAATAAAATTTTTTTTTTTACTTTTCTTTCTTATAATTAATAATTTATTATTATAAAAAATGAGCTGTAATTGAAAGAGAGCAAAGAATATTTATTTAATTGTAAATAAGTTTTGTTCTAGCAATTATTATTAATTACTAAAATTTTTTTTATTTTTTGTGTAACCTATGAACTTTATGTAGGGACTAAAGTTGAAGATGTTACGAGCTGCCCTAAGATTAAAGCTGATCGAAGACGGATCACAACTTTTTCACTTTCATTATATAAACGTAATATTTGCAAACAGCAAGGCCACTGATCTTATCTGCTGCACAGCTAATGTCAAAGTTCAAGTGGGCAAATTTATCCCCTAGGCGGAGAGAAGTGCACAACTGTTCGATTGACCCACGTCAGCAAGCGCTCAGCGCTGGCCGCGCGTGTGTATCCCGAAAACAACGAATGCGACAGAGTCCGTGCTTAGAGCTGTATCCGTGTGTGTTTGTGTGTGTGCTCAGTATGTATATATTACGCATACGCCTGTTGCGCCTCGTGCGCAACGAAGACGACAATCGGCATCGACAGCGACGCGGCTGGATCAGTCGCATTGTACAGCAGCTGAGGCGCCGCGCTGTAGGCAGATCGCAGTTCAGTCAGTGCTTGGGTCTGGTGCGCGTCGTTCGACTCTGCCCAATTGATATAGTTAGTTAATTAATAAATATTATATATATAAATATATATAATATATATATGCGATTTTTTTTCTGTGTTACGATTACCGTTGTTTTTTTCGTTATTTCGATTTGCGTCGCAGTCCCGGCTGACCAAACAGAAGAAGCGATGCGATCGCGCGCACACAGAGGAGAAGCAGAGACAGCCATAAAGAGCTTTTAGAAAATCAAGAAAAACAACAGCAACAGCTCCAACAACAACAACAACAAACTGTTGAATAACAAACAAGAAATACATACATATATATAAATACACACAGAGACTCGCATTGGCATTGCGTTCCAGTAGGCCAGCAGTGAAGTTCATCGGAGCAATGGAGCTCTATACGTCGGATAGCTCGGACACGGATTCGCGCGAGCAGAAGACCATTGACTTTGGCCGGATGAGTCTGGATGTGGTCACGCTGGAGGATCATTTGAGCTCGCCGCACAAGGCGCTGCTCAAGACGAGCGGCGACATCGAGACGATGCTGCTTAATCACAATCGGCTGGTGGCGCTGCCCCGCGTGCTGCAGCAGTTCACCAATCTCAAGATACTCGATCTGAGCTCCAATGCGCTCACCCAGCTGCCGGACGCCCTTTGCCAGCTGCCGCTGGTCACGCTGATAGCCAAGAACAATCTGTTGACCAACTCGTCGCTGCCCAAATCGCTGCTCCGCAAGCAGATCGGGAACGTGCATGGCGGCACCTCCACGCTGAAGGAGCTCAACCTAAGCGGCAATCAGCTGATCCACTTTCCCGAACAGGTCACCGAGCTGCGCCAGCTCAAGTATCTGTATTTGGGCAGCAACAAGATCTCGAGCATATCCAAGGATATCTGGAGGATGCAAAGGTATTGAAAGCGCTGCCAAATCTCACAGATGTCACTGTCTAGCCCTAGGCTCTCTCTCTCTCTCTCTCTCACTCACTCACTATCTCTCTCTAAGTATTTCTCTCTCTAGTGACGCTTTAAAGATCAGACAAGTCTATCACATTGCCTATCTCTTGCTCACAGTCTCGCGCTCTCTCTCTCTCTCTCCCTACGTCTGATCTTTATAGCTCTACGGCTGAGCTCCTAAATGCAATGAGCCACTTCACAGCTATCATTATGGGTTAAGCGCCTTCCTTCCTTCCCGTTTTTCCTGCTCATTGGCATTTTCCCCATGGCTCGCATGCTCAGCTTCAGTTGTTGTCAAGCGTAACACTTTGGTGGAGAATAGACGACGGCGGTTGGGGGTTCAAGTCTATTTGATGGTCTGATAAGCGGACTTTCGAGTGGCTCGGCGCGCATTGTAAAAGCCAAATCTATAGCGAAAATAAACGAAGCACACACTCGACACACTCATAAAGGTACATATACAAATGTACTCATATATATATATATATATATGTGTGTCTGTATATGTGTATCAATGGGGCATATTTATAAGTAAACACAATAATAAATAAAAAACAAAAGAATATGTGAGCCAATTTCGAATGGAAAGAGCACTTATCACGCATGCCGAGCTTCCTGACCAGCGACGGCAGATTACAGAATATGGAAAAACCGACTTCAGCCGAGAGCTAGTGGAGTGCAGCCAAGTTCAGAGAGCTTTTGTTGTTTTATCAACCTGATTAATATCGTTAGACAAATTGATAAAACCCACGATACCTCGGACAATCTATTCGCATATCAATTGAATGCTATAAACAGTCCAAGACTTGTAAAGTATAAAAGGAAAACAAAGAGTTTTTTTTTATTGTCAGGGAGGGGACTTACCTAAAACCCACTAAATCAAGTTTCATTATCTTATGATACCAACTATCGAGAAGTGAACATTTGGACCTGTACTATATCAAGTTCTCTATCATTTCGATTCGGAAACGTTTGCCCCATTTAAGAAATTATTCATAGCTAAATAACGAAAGCTCCGCAAAGCCTTGATTATTTATTGTAATACTGATATAATGTCTGCTTGTTATCTATAATCCTAACACCGGGTGACTTTTATCTAAGAGAGCTGCCTGTGAGCCAGCGGCCCCCCCAGCAGCGGACCCAACTGTTGCGCCTAGGCACTTACATAAACTATTAGATAGGCGTGTTTACCTGTGAATTGTTTATCGCGCCAGACGGCAAGTCGACCCTGAACTGAAATAGATGTTAGCCAACTCTCATCAACTGACTCTTATAAAAGAAATATAGAAGGCGACTCGAAAACATTCGAATAGGACACTTCAAAAGACATCGACTGAGGCAATGCTTTCAGAAGTCTTACGCAGAGATTAGTTCTTAACAAGGTTACATCCAGCGTATGCCTATAGTATATACATAGAATGTCAAGCCTCTAGACTGACTCCTGACCACTGCCACTCGGCCGTAAGCCCATGTGACACAGCCATGCTAGTGGAACTCTAAGAGCCTATAGATTATGGGCAGTAAATGCTATTTTCCTAACCCTAGGCTGAATGGGAAACCAACTTAGTGTCCTTAGGAAAATATTCAGAGCTTCAAGTATGGTCATTCCTCGTTAACGGATTTCGATTATCTCTATCTGCAGTCTTCATGTTCTTTCGCTGGGCGGTAATCTGGTCAACGAGGTGCCCGAGGCGGTTGGCTCCCTCAGCCAGCTGCAGGCGCTGGTGCTCTGCGACAATCTCATCGAGCATCTGCCGATGAGCATTGCACGGCTGAAGAACCTGAAGTCGCTGCTGTTGCACAAGAATAGACTGAAGCACTTGCCCAAGGACATTGTCGCCCTGAAGAACCTGACCGAGGTAAGGGAGCAGCAACTGCTGCCAGACCAGCCGAATCACATCACATCAGATTACTAAACTCGTTCGATCTCTTCTTTAGCTGAGCTTGCGCGACAATCCGCTGGTGGTGCGCTTTGTGCAGGACATGGCATTGAAGCCGCCGACGCTGCTGGAGCTGGCTGGTCGTATTGTCAAGGCCAGCGGGCAGAGGCCGGGTCCGGCGGACGTGCCACGCACCCTCGTCGAGTATCTGAACAGCGCCAATTGCTGCGTGAATCCCAACTGCAAGGGCGTCTTCTTCGACAACCGCGTCGAGCACATCAAGTTCGTGGACTTCTGCGGCAAATATCGCGTGCCTCTGCTGCAGTACCTCTGCTCGTCCAAGTGCATTGAGCCCGAGGAGCTGTCACGCGCATCCAGTAGCAATGCGAGCAGCGCCAGCAGCGGCTTCATGATGCGCAAGGTGCTCCTGGGCTAGGCGGGCTACCCAGGTAGCAAGGTTCGGGACCGGATCCGTGAAATGTGCCCAACCGACAAGTCGACGAGTCGACGACAAGTTAGCCAGTCGGCCAGGCCAACAACGGAACGGTGCCGCTCGTCCGTTGGCTGTGGTTGTTGTTGTTGCGGCGGAGCCGCACTCGGGTATCCATTGGCTTCATCACATTATCAAATTTTTTACCAAATTTGCCATATGAATTTTTTGTTCATTGTTGTGTTATTTTTTGCTATATGCATATATATACACACACACATATATATATATATATATGTATGTATGCGCACACATGTACACCCCATAGTTTTGATTTAGACCCGACATTGATTAGAGGAGAACTCTGCAGTGCCCACATAATCCACGATCTGCACGTCGCACTCCGCAATAAGAAAAGCTTTTTCGTTATTTTATTTATGTAGATAGTTTATTTTACTTTCTGAGAAACATTTGCAGCTATACGTAATTGCCCAATATCGGGAAAACAATAAATTGTATATTGAATAGTAATCGAAAGTATATGAAGAACTTTATAACTTATAGTAATATAGATGATAAAAAATATAATTGTTCAGTTAAATAGGCAACGATACATAAATACAAAATATGACATGAGGCGGACGATTCTTTTGCGTTCAACAACATTGAGAACTCTCCAGAGGCTTTGATCATATGGAATATCAAGCTGAATGCCGCTCAACGGAACTGATCGGAACTTAATGCTCGAGCTTATAGGTATAAAATTCATGATGTGAATACATGTGTGTGTGTGCGTGTGTGTGTGTGTCTGTGTGCGTGTGTGTGCATCTACGGACTTACAGCTAGACGGTACTATAGATACAAATTCAGAGAGAATGTGTTCGCGGTCTCGACTGGAGGATTTCCACACTCGCTCATTAACACCTGCTCCTGAATGTACCTTCGATTTAGGAGAGGACAATTTGGAATACGTAGAAGACATATATCATATTATATCAGCTATGGCCTAAAGGTAATACCCTAGATAATGAAGTTGTACATCCCACGATCCTTGGGATAGGTCTGATGTGTGTGTGTGTGTGTTTAAGTGTGTGTGTGTGTGTGTGTGTGTATCCTTTTTATCTCATACTCGTTATATGCTATTTATGCGGCGTAGTTGTAAGTATTCATAATAGTCGCTTGGAATTGGCGTTAGCGCTTCGAAGCAATGGCCTATTGGTCCATTACCTCCTGGCTGGTGTCATCCACCTCCATGGCGGCCGGCTCATCCTTGGCAACGTCGTCGGTAGCCATATCGCCAGTGGCTACTCCGCTTTCGGCCATAACGACCTCCTCGACGCCTGCAGTGGGCGAGACTTGTGTCTCATCTTCTTCGACTGGTGTATCCTCCATGGGCTGATCATTCAGCGTCAATGTGGGCGTGGCGCTGGCTGCAAAACTAGCCGCATCGGCTGCCGGCGTCTCATTGGCATCTGCAGCGGTTGGCGACTGTGGCGTAGCCAACTCATCGGTCTCAATGGGCACAGCTGGCACTGCAGCTGCTGCTTCATCGGCATCAGCTGCATCGGCTGCATCTTTAGCTGGAGCAACAGTCTTCTTCGCCTTATCTTGGTCATCTGCAGCTGGGGCTGCTGCAGTTTTTGCAGCTGGTTCAGCATCTTCTGCTGTTGCTGTTTTAGTCTCAGTCTTTTCAGTATTGCTCTCGTCAACGGTGGCTGTCTTGGTCTCCGGCTGGGTCTCAGTCTTGGCTTCGGCGTCAGGTGCCTTAGAGGCCTTAGAGGCTGCATCCTTGTCAGCTGTAGCCTTGCCAGCAACAGCTGCAGTTTCACTGGCTTTTTCTGGAGAGGCTTTCGCTGCTTTTTCCGTTTTTTCAGCAGGCTCCGGCTTGGGATTGTCGCCTGTGGGTTCTTTCTTCTCATCAGCATCATCGGCAGCGGCATCTTCGCTCTTCTTCGCTTTCTCAGCTGCTTTCGCTGGCTTGTCCGCCTTTTTTTCAGCGCTCTCCACTTCCTGCTTTTCGACAATTTTCGCCTGGTCCTCGGCCACATCTTGGTCATCAGCTTCAGTCAGCGGATCCTTGATCTGACTGTCGGTGGCAGCATCCTTTTCAGTTTCTGCAGCACCGCTGTCAACATCATCGGGCTCGGCCACATTTGGAATGTCCGCGTCAGGCTCTGCCGTCTCCTTCTCCTCTTTGTCTCCGTTGAGTGACTTCTTGGGCTTTGGTTCCTCCTCCTCTTCATCAGGCTCCTCAATTTCGGGTATCTCCCGAACGGCTTCAGTCTCATCGGTCTTCAGATCAGCGGCCTCATCAGCAGTCTCTGTCTTGTTTTTACCAGCTTTGGACTTGCACTTGACGACGACGGCGTCCTCCTCCACTTCCTCACCATCCGCTTCATCTCGCTGTTCATTATCGTCGAAATCGAGCTTTGCCTTCTTGGCTTTCGGCTGAACACCGGCAACGTCGTCGCTACGTGGGCAGCTGGCCTTAATAGCACCACTACTGGTCTCCTCGTTGCCGCCGTTTCGTTCATCTCCATTATTAAAGATGTTCTCGTTTTCCATTTCGATGTCGATGTTGACCTCCAGCGATAGATCCCCGTTGCCCACAGAGTCTAGCGAATCACCATTCTCACTTTCAGTACGCTTACGACCCGGATCGATGGTGCTAACAACTAAATATATAGAATGAATGAGTGTAGTTTCAGTTAATACTGTAGCCCGTTAGCTACTCACCTAGTATATTCTTCTCCAGAGCTCGCATGAACTTGTCGATGCGCGAGTATTGCTTCCGAGGGTCAATGAGAAGCTCACAGAGCCGCTGCACGGTGAAGGGAGCAGCATTAAACAAATCGAGACGCTCCAGCAGTGAGGACTTCATCGTCTCGTAGTTGAAGGGATCTACGTTTGGATAATTGGGTATCTCTATGGAAAAAAGCTCAAAGTTTATCTTCGAAATGGGGAAGAGCCTCAGGAGGTTAACTTACCCTCCAGGCGTGGTGGGTCCTCGTTGAAATGCTTGATCACATTAAGCAACTTTTCGCGGAACAGATATTTGAGGCTGGACCACTTGAAGATGGTATCGCCGGTCTTGGCAACATACTGCAAATAGTCCTCCAGTTCCTTGGGTATTTCCTTTTGCTTGAGCTGTGTGAAACGCTCCAAAATTTGTAGAATCTCCTCGCTATTCTCCATGGTAACCATTGATGCTTGTTTGAAGTGTTAGCGTTAAAGAAACTCTGCAAAAGAATGCGAGTTGGACTTGTGAATAAACCGGGCCGTCAACAAAAAATAAAAAGAAAAGTACTCTATGTGGCTGAAAAATTTTCTCGCTCCGTGGTAGACACACAAAAACCGAAAGGAAAACTGCAACTATTGCCGACTTCCAATGATTCTGTGTGTGTGGAGTGTGGCTTAGTGTAAACGTGAGTGTGTGTGTGTGTGTGGAGCAAGTATGCGCCGAATCAGCGACCCTAGCCAGATACGAGCTGCAGCCACGGTTGCCACATGCGATACGAATGTACCAAAACCGGGTAGTTGTTTAGGTACATTGGTTCTTCTTTAACATTACCTTAACTTTTAGCGAACCTTTTATAGTATAAGAGATGTTTTAGTTGAAAAATTGATGAATAACTTCCGAGGTGTTAGCTTAAAAAGACACTAAAAATCTTAAGCCCACATTTAAATATCAAAATGAGAATGTTTTACCGAAAGTGGTACAATCGTGCTCAGGTGTTAAATATTTTCCACAAGGTACACATCGTTTTGAACAAGTGGCAACCGTGGCTAGGAGCTTCGGGAACGCAGCTCGTCGTAGCTGAGAAGCTGCAAATCTGCATTGGCGGGTTGTGCCATCCAGGCGCAAGCAGAGAGAGAGAGAAAGAGAGACCGAGAGAGAGAGAGAGAGCCGATGCACGATGCACACACATGCATACACACAGAGGCAGGCGCGCTTAAAACTACAATTGAGAGCAATTCAAATGAGCGACGAGCGATGGCTGCAAGTTCATCTGGCAAATGGTGGAGGATTCCTTGCAAATTTACACAGAAAAACTAGTTATTTTGCCAGCCAGCCACACACACAATCATAAACATATATGCGTGCATATGTTTGAGCGTATGTATATATGTTTGTGTGTATATCAAGCTTCGGCTCTCGCGCAAAAACCAACTTGGCCATTGCAGCTGCAGAAGGCTTACATAGGCAAACTAGTACATATATATTTACTTGGCTGAATTGGCCGGATAGACAGACAGCATAGTAAACTTAATAAATGTCGGCTTTATGCGGTTTTCGGTATTCGCAACAATGACATTCCGGTTGCTAAACGGCGTGCGGCCTTTTGGCTTACCTTCCTATTAGTAATTAATGTTTGATTATTATATTTTCACCTGCAATTTGCTGTTGCGGCCACTTGAGCACTATCACAATTTTGTTTTTCTAAGGATTATACTTAAATTTATTTATTTATTTTGCTCCGCTTGATACCGTGTAAGCCGTAGCTGCACTATCGATAGTGCAGGCACACACACCACAAACCAATCGATTATCGGAACATTCAATAATACGATACCGCGATGTTTCATTTCGATACTCTGCACGTTTACATATTAATGGTAAGCTGAAAAAGCAACACTGATATAATGGCAACCATTGTATAGCGAAAGTAAAATAAAATTGTATCGATTATTTATATTGCATATATATAATAAAGGGAATTTACTACTCATTAAAATTAAGTTTCAAAATATAAATAACGACTCATTGACACCGATTCATTCCCACGGTTAGTAAAGTAAGCCGTTACTCCGATAATGCTTATCGATAGACTTTCGGTTGCCGTAGCAGCAACAAGTATAACTGACAACAAACTATATTATGTACAAATTTCGTTTTCTGCGGCAACTGCGCTACAGTTTAGTCCCACAGAATTCTAGAACAGCATTAGCACATTCACCGCCATGTCGCCTGCTGTCCAGTCATCACAAGCGAAGGCCACAACTCGGGCCAATTCCATCAGATCAGCTGGACCGACTAAAGAGCGAATATTTCGAACGCCGCTGTGAACTAAGCAACGAGGATTGGCAACACGTGCGGCACACACTCACTGATAGCTTTAGACACATAAATGGCACTAACGTTGATGCCATCATACTGGGTCTATGCAGCAAAGCCGAGCAGCTCCCGGTGGCTAAAAGTTATTTAAAGCATTTGCAGGCGCAGGGACTCAAACCCAATGCGGCGACAATGGGTCGTCTATTACGAGTCTATAATGCCGCCTACCATACACGCGAGCTCAGCGACGAGGAGCAGTCAGAAATTATGCAAATCTGTGATTCGCTGCAAAATGCCCACGCTATCTTGGATGCCAGCAGCTGTGAGAACTTAATCCATGGCCTGGTGGCCACCACTCAATACTGGCAACGCGCTCTGCCGCTACTTGACATGATGAACTTGACCACGACACCAAGTGTATCCGCCTACACTGCGCTTGCAGTCAAGGCATTTAGCTCCGATCAGCCAGAGCTGGGCTGGCGTCTGCTCGAAGAGATGCTGCAAGCGCGCAAGCTGCCCAAATGCGAGATCTTTCTGGCGCTGCTGGCGCACTATGCACGGGATGTGCAGACACTAGGTGCCCAGCTGGAGCGACTGTTCAGCTTCCTTGAGCTGTACGACATTGTGATCAGCGATTTGGTGGCACAGCAACTGTTGGCACTGGCGCAGCGGCTACCGCAGCAGCTGCAAGTGACTGCAACGGGGCTGGAACGGTTTGGCAAATGCTGTGCTTGTCAGCAGAATTTGCAGCATGTGGCCATTAGTGATGCCCAGTTCGTTGAGTTACGTGAATCCTTTCTACAGAAGGTGCTGATACGCAACGATGTATTCCAGAAGACGACGCCACAAGAGTTGCAGCGCTTCAAGCAGTATGTGGAGAAAACTGCGCCATACGATTGCGTAATCGATGGCCTCAATGTAGCCTACTCCACCGGGAACAAGAAGCCGCCAGAGCAGCTGGCCAAGCTGCTGGCCACCGTGGTGCGGTATTTTAAGGAGCGGCAGAAGCGCGTCCTTGTGCTGGGTCGCCAGCACATGCGCAACTGGTCCAAGCCGATCATGAAGTATATACAGAGCAATGCCAGCGTTTTTCTTACTAACAATCTGTGAGTAGGCGTCTAATCCAGTCCAGAAGTTTTGATGTTTATATTGATTCGCTTGCAGCACGCATGATGATCCCTTTCTGTTGTATGCAACGTTGCGCAGCGGCCAGGATACGGACTTCTTTTCGCGTGATCTGATGCGCAGTCATGCCCATTTGCTGGGGACCGAACTAAAATCCACCTTCCGACGCTGGCAGCAGGAACATCAATACTCGCTCGTCACCCGAACAGAAACGGGTCAGATAATTGTCAAGGAGCCCATTCGGTATCGATTGAGCGCCCACAAAGTGGGCAATGTCTGGCATGTGCCATACTGCGAGGCATACTCTCCCAACCCGCCAGAGAGATTTGAGGTGCCCGAGAAATGGCTGTGCATAACCATTGCCCAATAATTAGTACAATACGCTTGCAAATACATATATATATATATTGAAAGGGATACATGACCCCGGATCAGTACTGACAAAATGTATACAAGAAATATAAGAAATTCATTATTGAATTGTGCTCGCTGCGCTTGGATTACAGAACATGGATTACAGACTCCGTTTTTTAGTCTGCACCGGACTCCCGAGCTACTCGCAGTCGAGGCGGGAGCATTTTTGAAATGCAGTCAAATTGAACGTCGTTTGCCGCTTGCGACGCAGTTCGTTTCTGATCTTCTTCTTAGCGGCGCACATGAGGCGCTCCTTAATATAATTGTCCATCTTGAAGTCCAGGTCCGTTGAGGGTTTGGGGGCCTCGTTGGGCTCGCGTGTGGCCGCCGTATCTAGCGCCTTGATAATCAAACTGAGTAACGCATGCGCCAAGCGATGGCATACATCATACTCAATGGCATCCTGACTAGTATAGTAGATGGCCGATTGCGATGTGGGCTGCACGCCAATCGCCAGCAATATGTTGCAGAATATGCCGCGCTGCATACGAGCGTACGGATCGACCAGCTGAGGTGGTATGCGCATTGTCGTTGCCAAATGGGCAATGAATTTGGCGAACTTCTTGATGAGCACATTAAGATATTGCGAACGGCACTGGCGCTCCATTTTGGATAGCATGTTGTAGTACATCTCTTGTTTGCGCTTTAGGAAGTCCTCCTTACGGCGTTCCTTCTTCTTGGTATTCTTCAGTACATCCTCGAGCTGCCTGCAAGGCGACGCGTTTGTCGTTTAGCATGGAAACGAATCGAGTCAGTCAGGGTCAACTTACTCTGTGGTAATGGCGTTATATTTTCCCAACATGCGCTTGATGCGTTTGGCCCTCAGTTTGGGATCGTATATTTCCTTGAACTGCTCGTAGTTGTCAATTAACGTATACTTTTTGGGCTTCGACAGGGCGACATCGTAGGCACGAGCTTTGGGAGGCAACGCCGGCTGGTAAGCCATTCGACGGACATACGACTGCAGCTTGGTGACATTCTCTTCCTGTCGCTTCTTGCGATTTTCCGGGCTGCAGTAGTCGGAATTCTCCTCTTCGGCCTCCTCGGTTGACGATGTGGGCAGTGCCTCGTCCCAGTCAGATACATTCGAGCTAGCCATAACTACGTTTCCGTTTGTACACTTCTGCTTAATTTAAAGTTACTCAAAATTTGGTAAAAAACTCAAGAAAAATGTAGAAACTAAGAATCAAAAAAAGAAAACTAACTGATGTATAAACAAATTTATTTTGCTTCACATATATATATTTTTTTATAATAGAATAGAACTGACAATTTACTGTTACACTGTCGAACATGGAATGGCTATTGAAGCCACTGGCATTGAAGCACAACCAGGTAAAAAGTCAAAGCCAACTGTGAATCGAGTTCGAATCACGGACTGACAAAATTCGTGTCGCCATCTATCGTTGAGCATTTGTAAGCTCTCCATTCTATAAAAGTGGGAATCACAAATCACAAATGGGGGAAAAATTAAGATTCCAATTAGATATTTGGTTAGTCGATTTATATATGTGTTTGCCTTTTGTTACTTAATAATACAATTTCTAACGCCACAAATCTAAAAATTATTCTACAAATAAACATATGTATACGTATTTATAATTAGCATTAGTTTCAAAAGTCGTCCATTCAGTACGAATCATTTTGCACTGAGCGCTCCAGGGCGAATGTGTACTCCTCGGCCATTGCATCGACAGATAGCTGACGTGTCATCAACGCCAAAATGCCGTCCACTTGCATTTGGGTGCCATTAAACCGATCCTTGGTGGCCAGTTGCGGCGACAGTTCAAAGGGAATGTCCTGCAGATAGCTGATTGGCGCATTTGGATTCGGTCCAGGCTGCCCAGTTGCAGTTCTTGGTCCTAGCGGCGGTGGATATGGCATTGGGCCGTACGACGATTGCGGCATGGGTGGGTACATCATGCCACTGCTAGGCGATGTGATGGAATCTGAGTCAGGTTTGCGCTCCACAAATATGAAATCATCGCCGTTGCTTTGCTTGGGTCCATCGGCTGGGCCCTGAATGGCCTCCTCGGTGGGTGTTTCGGCTGGTTTGCGTTTGCCAAATAGTGAAAACATAGTTCACTCGATTTTAACCAATATTCGTATTGCAAATTTTAATATTTACGCAGTTATGACTACACCAGCTGCGTTTTGTTTTTGTGTTGTCAAAGGCTATCAAATTCTTATCGATTACACTCTAGAGTTGCTTGGCAAAACGATAGTCATTATCGAAAATGTGTATACAACGGTAATTGCTATCCCGCCCAACTGAAAAATTTAACTATAGTATTTATGCGCGTATAATTGACTTGAAAAAGATTTTTACGTATATTTCATAATATTCAAAGACATACGTTTTATTTGCTAGAAATTTACTGATAAGCAATTACCAAGCGCATGATGTCGAGAATAAAAACTTATAAATATATATATATATATATATTATATATATATATATTCATATATTTTTTGAATATATATATAGAAGAAATTGTTTATAGTTCATGGCAAATTTAATGACTATATTATAATAATATTGTTCCATATATATAATAATTTTTAATATCAAACAAAAAGTTTGAATTGTATTTTTGTTTTGTTTAAATATCGATAAGTCGCAGAATCTTTAAGCCAATAAGAATTGTCGATTGTGGCTCCTGGGTTAATAGGACTTGCTTGCATATTGTGCACGGTTAGTAGCAAGGTCACAGTACACCCTCTGTATCGCCACACGCGAATCGCGTACCGATATATATCGATATGATGGGAAAGGCCCAACAAGCTATGAATGCAACGCTGTGGCTGGTTTTGGTTTCAACTCTTCCAAGCTAACAAAATTTTGTTAACGAAAAAATTGTTTAAGATGTCAAAAGCTGATCAGGATCCAAATGGTTCGCTTAGCATAATGGAGGTGCGTATACATCTGACAAATGTTTTGTCAACAGCTGACAGACAGACATCCAGTGCCGCCAAATTGGCTTCAGATTGGACAGATTACAGTGATAGCGAGAGAATATCTAACAAAACTAATTAATTAATTATCCCTGCTTGCAATACGCTTTGCAGCAAATTAAGATCCTGATCAAGCCGCCGCCAAACGAGGAGGAGAAACTAATACAGCGCACCACGAATACCAAGCATCCATACTATAGGCGTCCTGGACGCGGACATAACCACGACCTGTGCGATGCTTGCGAGGAGGGCGGGAACTTGCTTTGCTGCGACCGTTGCCCCTCCAGCTTTCATCTTCAGTGCCAGTGAGTATTTTTATATCCGAAGTAATCCAAGCGAGGGTATATGCTGTGTTTAACCATTTAGTGATCCACCACTCAACGAAGAGGATATACCTAGTGGGCAATGGTTATGCCACAGTTGTCGTATGGCCAAGGTTTCGCAGCCCACTTCCTCTTCCAAGGCCAGCTCCGTCGAACGTGTACCCTCGGGGGGCAGTGGGTCTCGCGCAAATACCCCATCCTCCGGCGAACTGGAATCCATACCACTGAAGATCCGTAACTTGCGAAAGCGCAGCAATAGTGAACGTAATAGCACCGAAAAGTTGCTCTCCAAGATGCCATTGGCCATACAGCGTGCACTCGATCCGAACCGAAAGCCGACTCCATTGGACGACGTAATACGTGCCGCCAGCATGCTGAATCCCCAGCAGTTCTCGTTGCCACCTGAGTTGGAGCTGCACACCCAGTTTCCGGGCAATGGTAAAGTACAGCCGGTGCAGCAGCCGCACACCGGCCCCGGCAACGGCCATCGCAAGCCAAACAGTCAGCGACGCTACTCCAAGCCATTTGAATTGGATGCACAGGGATTGGTGCCTTTGCCGGCCAAGACGTGCTTTTATTGCACGCGCAGTTGTAAGCGAGCTCCGCTCATATCGTGCGACTATTGTCCGCTATATTATCATCAGGATTGCCTAGATCCACCGCTGACCGCACTGCCCGCTGGCCTCTGGATGTGCCCTAATCATGTAGAGAACTTCATAGTAAGTGGACAGTAGTTAAGATTGCTCCGATAAGACTTTGTGTTTCAATTGACCGCTTGCAGGATGCCAATATGACGAACAGCATTTCGGCCACGGAACGAGTGCGACTGTGGAACCGCTTCCATCAACCTCTGGATCACGAGAACGTCAAGATGGAGTTTTTTAGGCGTGTGAACACACGACATCCACCATTCCGTATGAAGTTGACTATGCGCGGTCGCGCTCACATCGATGTGCCGGCCATAGTTCGTTACCATTACGAGCATCCGCCGGCTCTGCTGCCTTCGATGAGGCAAACGTTACGGTATGATCGCGTGAAGAGGCGCAAACAATTACCCACTGCTGTGGAGGACATCTCCAGGGAGAGTGTCACCGAATCGCTGCTCAAGGATCTGGAGGCTTTGCGCTGTGCACGCGCCAAATTTCGCGAAATACAAAAGGAACTGGGCAATGCCCAACTCGATGGCAGCCTCAGCGACAGCGACACAGAGAGCGTCACCGAACAGCAGCAACAGCTGCAGGAGAGCAACGGTTTGGTTGGGTCACCCAAGTCGGACGCCATTGATGATCGAACCGCAGATAGTCAAAATGCAAACAATGAGCATAATGAGTGTATAAAGCAGCAGGCAGCGGATCAGTCCAAGCTATCAAATAGTGGCCATGGCCAGGGCCTGGAGCTTAGCTACGAGGAGGATGAGGAGGAGTGTAAATCGAATGTTATAATCGATGCGGACCTGTGTCATTTGGATGTGGACCTCATCAAGAAGCTGGCACATCAACGATTGCAGCAGCTAGTCCAGGAACATCCAGAGATCGTAACGCAGTATAAAAATCGCACGGCCGCACGACGTCTGCGGCAACTGTCGACGGCCATTCAGCCGGGCAACCAGAATACAGCGCTGCAGGGCGATCTGGCGCCGGAAGATATGCGTCGTTTCTCTTTGCTCTTCACCAGTGAAACATCCTCGATTCTTGCACAAAAGAACGGCAATGCCGCCGACGAGGATCCAATGATGGCGCTGCATCCAGCGCTGGCCACAGCCGCAGCCATCGCTGCAGCAGACACCGCCGCCGAGAGCTATGTGCCACGCGAGCGCAGCGATACAGAGAAGGCCTACGAGCTGGCCTCGCGGTTAGAGCTAAAGCTGCTGCAGTGCAAGGTGCGGGCGAGGGCGGTCCTTACACCGCTTGGTGATATGCTCGAAGATAGCCGTTGGTTTAACGCCCTGGGCCTGGAGCAATCGATATTTATGCGTTATCGCACACTGTACATCGGCTATGGCGGCCATTATACGCCTTCGACGACGTTGGCGCACACGGAAACTGTAGATCTATCGGCAATTGGATATTGTTCGCGCATCTCGCCACAGCATGCGATTATCTTCTACGATGAGTTCACTAAATCATATGAGCTTATTAACTATTCCGAGTTCGGCACAGAGGTTAATGGCCAGCTATATACGTGCGATCTAACCGAATACGCGCCGACGCATGCCGGCAAACGCATGCGTCCGGATGATGCCGAGTTGAAGAGACGCGTCGATGATCTGCTTGATAAGCGGCGGCACATACAACGTCAGTATAACGAGCCCAAACGTGAGACACACGACAGGTAAGCGCTGCTCATTCCATAAACGTTTAGTTCAATTGACTTAGCTACTGAATTCGATTTGATACCCATTCAAACTAATCGATAGAGCAACAATTATAAAATTTTTGCAAGTGCTTTGATTTCATCATATCGATTACAAAATTTTGGCAGAACAAAGGTTGACAAGTGTCATTACCGCATAAACAATTGGTTCTTAGTAATGTGAATGGCGTGACAAGAGACTTTGATTTTCAAATCTCTTAAAGTTATCGATATCTGACAATTCAGCATTCAGCAAGAACAGGGTGTCACACTTAGATAGTGTCTTGACAGCGTTAGCAGCTTATCAAATATAAAGAGAATAAGCAATGTTTTTTTTCTATAATTCAGACTGGCTCCCATTGTAAAGCACGCCTGCCGCTGCCAAACCGCCGCACCCGCGCCCATGGTGCCAGGCGCCTGGGAAGGCTCCGCTGTACTGGCCCATGGCACTCTCTTACGTTTCGGTTGCCTCTCGTTCGTCTTCTCAGTGCCATCCACGGATATGATGAACGGGCGACTGAGCAATGCCAAGTGAAGGACGTAAACCTATCGCCAGTACCACATATAAGAGCTTCATATAATATACTCCAAGCAGCAGCTAACACAGATGCAAACAATCCAATCTCAGTGATCGAGAAATCACACACAGGCAGAGGACCTAAATGCCAGGAATATTCCATCCCCCCTCCATCACCTCCACCACCACAGCAACAACAACAAAAGAAAACATACCTAGAATTTAACTTAAGTTTGGGCTGCCAAGCCAAGGGCTCAATCTAAAAACCGTACGAAAAAGACAGAGAAAGAGAAAGATAGCAGTTAGAGCGTAAGTGTGAGTGAGAGAGAGTATTGGGTAAACTACAAGCTCTACCTTTGGTAGCTACATATACATTAAGATAGATTGCATTATAGAACATTTTTATTACATGTTTTTAATACTAGAAGTATACTCTAAATCGTCGTGGTTCTTTCTCATTCATTATTTAATCATCAACATCTTCCTCTTCCATCTGCGGTAGTTGTATAAAGAGCATAACAAATAAACGAAAAAGAGAGAGAGAGTTGTAAGGAAATGGAATTCGTTATGGAGTTCATATTTCTTTTATCTAAACTGGGTTTAAAACAAAAAAAAACATACATATTGAGTATCGTGTAAATTTAGTTCACATATTGTGCAAAACAGAATAATTATAATAAAAATAATAAATTAAATAACATTTAAGAGCAAACAAATGTTTATACACACACAGACACACATCCACACACACTCACACACACACACACAAATTGTAAATGAGAATTGAATTTATATAAAATGAAAAAAAAAATCAAATATTTCTTGAATATATATCCTTTAAATTGTACAATGTATATAATATATACAGATGTGTGTGGCTTATCGGACAAATCAATTGAGTAGAGGGCGTTTTGGGAGGAGATTAAGCAGTGCTTTACATCTAGTTGGTAAGGCATAAACGGAGGAGCGCATACAAAGTAATTATATAGATATATACAACAGCATCGGGGCTGGGGCACAGTCGCTCCGAGCCCGAAATACATCCATGAAGTACCATAAGTACGTACGTACGCCTAGACATGCTAATATAAGTAACTATTTAATATACATATATGTGTGTATATATATAGTCTATATGTATGTGTTTAGAGAGAGAGAGAGAGAGAGAGAGAGCGCTGACTGGCTTAACATTATCGTGCGCGCTGTTCACACTAGGAATTTGATGTTGTGACCGCTTCATTCAGTTGCAACTGCAGCTGCTCCTGCTCCTGTTCCAGCTGTTCCTGCTATTGTTGCTCACTGGCTGCTGACTTTGCTGCATTACGATTGGCCCGCGAGCGCTCCCATTCGGTTTTGTGCTTGCGCTTGGTATGATGATACATATTCGATTTGGAGCGAAACTCTGTGGGGCAGAAGGCGCAGGTGTGCAGCTTGACGCCCGTGTGTGTGGCAAAGTGTTCCTGCAAAAGAGCGTATACAAATGAATTGAAGCACGCTGTGGATCAATAAGGCTCTTTACTGCTCACCTCCAGATAGCGTTTCATTTTGAATGACTTGCCGCAAAGATCGCAGGCATATTTGGCTTTGCTCAGACAGCGATGATTCTGGCCAGGCAGCTCGCCGCAATTGGCGCAAATGCTCAGCTGTGCCTGTCTTGGACTGGGCGATGTCGATGTCCGGGTCTGGGTCTGGGTCTGTGTCTGTGTCTGTGTCGGCCTCGCAATGTGCTTGTTGTGCAGGTGATTCTTGAGCGCGCGCTGATTGCGCAGCTGCTGGCCACAGATGCTGCATGTATAGAGCTCAGCAGCTGGCAGGGAGGGAGCAGGCGCCACAGCAACTGATGTGCTGTAAGCAAATAAGGAATAAGACATTTAAATTCTGGTTTTGTTTTTGCGATAGCGAAGGCGCTACTAAGTACCTGCTTTGACTATTTGACGCAGTCGCAGCAGTTGCTGCCGCTGATGCTGCTGCAGAGCTCGTACTCGTGTTGCCTGCAGCCGTTAGTAGTTGCTCCTGATGCTGTTGCATAATTGTGGCGCATAGTTGCTGTTGCTGTTGCGTGGCAGCTGCCACAACAGCAGCCACCGCATTGTAATTGGCCAGCAGCAGCTCGTTTTCCTTGCACGTCTGCAGCTCGGTCTTAAAGCGTTTCTCGCGGAGATCTGGCATCGCTTCGTTGCTGCTGTCCTCACTGGCGCTGCCACTGCGTGTTGTATGCTGCACCTTTTTGGGCAAATGCGTCTTGCGGCGACTAGAGCGTGTGACTCGTTTAGCTGGCACTTGGCTTGTTGCCTTATCTACCGTCAAATTGATTGCTTCCATCGGCTCACACTTGACGGTAATGGGTGGCGGTGGCGGCGTCGTTCCTTCTAGCACGGTCGCCGACGGAGGCGGCGGCGCTGCTGTTGCTGCAGCAGCAGCTGGAGTGGGATTGGAAGCTTCTACTTTGACCGTCGATTTCAGCTCATTAGGCGGCACGTTAAGTGTATCCACAAACTTATCGTTGTTGTCCCCGTTGGTGGTTCTTTGAATTTGAACATTATTGTTGCTGTTGATCTTGGCCGATTCGCGATCGGCGCGCGCCTTTTGCCACTGGGTGTTGTGCTTGGTCTTCACATGCGTGTACATATTGGATCGACAGCGAAATGCCATGTTGCAATAGGCACACGCAATAGGACGATCGCCTGTGTGCGTGGCCACATGCTCCTCGAGATAGCGGCGCATTTTGAAGGACTTATCGCAAAACATGCAGGGAAACTTATGGGCTGCTGCTACCTTGGGATCGACCTTCAGGTAAGATTCGTGAAATTCGGTTTCTTCTTTGACCAAAACATCGTAAACTGCTGGCGTGTCGTCGCCGCCAGTCTCCTGTTCAAGGTCTGGATCAGGGTCTTGCTCATAATCGGTTATGGCTAACGGGTGCTGCATCTGCTGCTGCTGCTGCTCAACATCGCCCTCTTCGGACCAATTGACGTCACAATCAATTTCCAAGAACTGGCTGCAGAGCGTTGTTTGTTTGTGCTCAACCAGCTTCCAGAAGTTGTGAAAGCTCTCCAGCTGCGCACAGCAGTCAGTGCAAATGGATGTGGAAATGGCATCGTCGCGAGACAGCTGAATGAAAGTAGTGTTAAAGCAGGACTCATTTTAAGGCAGGCGCAAGTGCGCACTGGGCACAAAGCCTAACTTACACAGAGATATAAATGCGTTGATATCAATTGAACCAAATAATTTTCCGGTATTGTCTTGTTGTCGCTGTTAGATACCTCGGTGTCGCCGCCCGTGAACAGCAGCACGGCATTCTGCTCGTCCAATGCGTTCAAGCACAAGCGACAAATCATTTCGTTAGCCAACTAATCGAATTTCAACAACATGAGCACTACTTTGACATTTATTTTATTTATTTCCAAGTTGCGGATGGGTCTAGAGCTGGAATACTGCTGCTCACAATATATCGATTGCCTATACTTACCACACTACCAGCTATCGATAACAAGCGTATAAGCTGCAAACGTAAAATAAAAATACCAAGAAAACAGTCTACAGTATTACAGTATCTATATGATTTTTAGACTTTATTATCACAAACGTATAGATTCGATATTTTTGAATTTTACTTTCACTTACTAACAAAGGAAATATATAGGCTATGAGGACTGATTATGTATAGGAAACACTATAGTCGTTAGGTCTCCACCAGTTGACAGAACTTCGTAATGGAAACTTTTTTTGACCGTTACCATAGTATTGACCTCGAAAGGTATATTAATACAATTGAATCTGAAATTGGGGTACTTTGATAGTGAAGACACCATATCATAGCCCTCCGATAGCTTGTTGGTCCAAATCGAAACCGTATCGAAATCAAGACCCTCTCGGTGACAAAGTTTGATCGCTTCGTTGAGAGACCGAAAGGTATTCAGCGTTATAATGGCCGTGGGCTTATCGCCAAAATAGACTTGAGGAAAATCTAACGCTACAATTGGCGAATTGGCCTGCTTTCTGCCATACAGCTTCAGCTTGTCCGATGGATCAAATTCTTCCATATAAATAGTTTTACAATTGAGTCGATCTATAATCTTGAGGCTATTCAAAAAATTTGGATGCTTTGCTATACGCTCATCCATTACTTCCATGCGTCCAGATATTTTTCGAATTAATGCCTTACGCAGCGGCTCCTGCACGAGTATGCTGGCCACCAGTCCGGTGCCAATTGGATGCCTCAGATCTTTGATTACCGCCTCAACGACTTGATTTAAATTTCCGGTTGCGAAGAGAACAATAATTTGTGGTTGCACCCAATGGTTGTGGGTGCCATTTTCTGGATATAGATAAACATGTCGCTGCTGCAAATGAGCATAGATATCCTCCACACCTTCGGTTATATTTGGCAAGCCTTTAAACCGTGGTAAAACGTCGGCATCCTCATCCTTATCCGCACCTACGTGATCGCCCATTACTTTATTTCAAATTACCCTACGAAAAAAAACAGCAAGAGTGTATACATGAAAGTTATAAAATCGCTAGGGAAAATGTGAATGTAAATGTGAGTGAAAATGAAAATGGAAAACGTAAACGTAAAGCAAACAGCTTTACACGTCGATTCTATCGGCTCAAAGGAAAGTTACAGCCAACTTCCGCTTCCTGGTCAGCATGTGTAAACGGTCTCATAATTAAAATACTTTCACTGGTCAATGTTGCCATTCACCGGGAAAAAACACATTCACACAAACAAGCAGACAGACAGATTGCTGCTGGTGGTGAATTAGCATTGCTCGCAAAAGGCATAGAGTATGATCGAGTTATTCATGCCTTTGGTAATATATAGAACCCAAAAAAAAAGGTGAACAGTAACATATATAATAGAAAAATATGCCAAGAGTCTTTTTATAAGTTTCTACTATGTTATGGGTATAGTATTTGCTTATATGTTTTATTATAAGACTAGCTAAAGTAATTGGCATGAAACATTTTATTATATCAAGAGCAATAATAAGCTTACGAATTTATTATGTTTGTTTACTTCACCTTAGAGATAGGGTATTCCGGCCTCGCCTACATTCAGTGCTTTATGGTTTTTTGTTTTGACATTCAATAGGTCTCGCTGCCAACGAAACGGCTGCCTTCCTTCGTTTGGTAGGGATGCGGAAGCGAAACAGCATGGCTGTCTGCCAATGTGTGTGTTCGTGTGTATGCGTGTGTGTGTGAATGTGAGAGCGTGCGTTCTCGTGTGTATAAATAGCCGAGCGAGCCGCTGGATTCGCTAAGATTGCGTGCTTCGCTTCAGAGAGACACCGCCAAGGTTCGCAGGGCAGTCGCTCGCAGTCGGCGCCCACAAATAGGCAACGCAAAATTTGGAATTATAATTTGAGCAATTTATAGCCGAATTGTCATTTAGTTAATTTTTTGTTGTCCTTTGGTGAAAGCATGCCAGAACAATAGCGCTGCAATATGGAGATGTCGGGCTATCAGGATATAAGCGCGCTCGAAAAATCGGTAAAGAATAAATACAGCAAAATCATATACAAGCGAAATAAATGATGGAAGTATTTCCGTTTGTAGGTGGCCAATGCTGGTAGCCAGCTGTATACGATGGCACACAAGCTGCACGCCGTGGAGCGCAGCCTGGACCAAACGGCAATGGAGCAGATGGACGAAATGGAAGTAATGGAGCTGCTCGAGTCAATGACCGAGGTGAAGAACGAGTACCAGAATCTGCGCAAGGACATACAGGAGGTGCAGCAATTGCAGCGTGACGTCAGCACGTCCATACGCTACCAAATGACTAGCATGCAGCAGACATTCCAAATGCTTAAGAAACGCATTGCGACAACCCAGCAGCGGCGCCGCCATCAACGGGATCAGCTACAGGGCCCAACTACCGTTGCGGCCCATCCCCATTGAGGCAAGCAAATTGTGTGACAAGTTTGGGTGTGTGTAGTGTATTGTAGTGTAGTGTAGTGCTGTGCTGTGCTGTGCTGTGTAGTACTGTGTTGCTGTGGGGGCAGTAGCTATTGACCTATGCAGGCTATTTATGAACTTTGTATTATTTTTTTTTATTGATTTTGCTTGGGTTAGTTCAACTGAAATCAAAAAGAAAAAGCAACCCTATATTAACACATATATTTAGAATTAAGTGAAAATATTCTGTGGATTGGAAAGAGAGGGGGGGTGGGGTGGTGTGGGGTAACCTGTTGCAATACAAACCTAATGGCCTACACAAATACATATTTACGTACGTTCATGGAAATCGTGTCAAATTGTGGATGTATTCCTGATAACTAACTGATAACATTTTTTTACTGTCATATGTCTAAGCAATCAAACTTACATACAACAATATATCAGAGGCAACAGCTAAGCTTTTTTTTATACACAATACAAATCGTAACAACTTGACAAAACACACACTTATATATATACAACTATATATGTATACATATATGTATATATCTATATAAGCAATTTACTCAAAAACTCTAAATACTTTATGATGCAAATCCAAAATGTCTGATACCATTTAAAAAGAATGCACTTCTTCAAAACAAAACAAAACAAATTTGCCTTAACATAATAACCATGTTATACTAATTTTTGATACATACATATTTTAATATTAAACTAAGCTTATCATTTCTATTACAATGATAGGCATTAGCGCAACCTTTTTTGTTGTTCTCTTTTTTCTTTTTGATATTTGTTATTAAATTGTATAAGAAATCCAAGTAAGAAGCACATAAAAATAACAAGAAAATAAACAAAACAATCCAAATATTCTTTTGAATTCGCGCCAAGGGTGTTTCCACTATTGCATATAAGGTCTTATTTACGCTGCTATCGATATACGTTATTAGCTTCACGGGTATTAGGTGTCTAAACTCGTAGATACGGAAATATTAATCAAGTTGGGCTATCATGAAAGCATGAGGTTTTGATTTTCGATGATAGATTTACTTAAATATTGAAGAAATTAAATATGCTTTGAAAACAGAGCCAAAATGAGTAGAGCATCGATAAGATTTCTGTAGGAGAGTTATAACCCGATAGATTCAATTGTTATTTCTCTTTCTAAGGAACTATCGATATAAATTAATTCAGAGCAGCTGATTTGAGCACATCTGCTTGTGCCAAAAACGAATAAATACTGTTGCCGCGCTTTGCATTGTGCGCCAAAGTTTCAGTTTTTGCAGAATGTAAATATTGAAATTATTATATTATAAATTAATAATTCAGTTTTGTTTGTGGCTAGTGCAGAGGCCAATATGGTTTTCGCTACACTGATGCAGACAAAAAGACAATGTGAGAAATGCAAACAATATAAATTAATATACGGTAAGCTATTAACATGGTGTGACCATAGAGTTTATTACGAAAATACTAAAAGTCTAGTATTTGTAATAGATTCTGGGTCACTCTGCTAGCTTGATATGTTGAATGTTATTTTAATTAATTCTAATAATCGTAATTTAGAAATAAATGAAAAAATTTGGTTTTGTCATTTAAAAAAAATATAGGAAATACTGCTTATATATTTTTATTTTTAGTAATATACCCAACAAATTTATATAAAATATTAAAGAAGTGATCACTTTCAGACGTTTCTAGTATTTGTGCAAAATATACTTTATATATATTATATCGATTGCATAGATCGATAAGTATATTAATCTATTTGTGAAATGCTATTGTTACGAACGTTGCTAGTATTTTTGTTGGGATTGTAAGACTTCTCAGTGAGGGCCACACGATCGTCAGTTTGGGTTTTCTGCAAGAGTCAGTGCTTCGCGTCGTTGCTCGTTGGCCTGTGTTTTTGCTTTAAGTTCGTTAAATTTTTGTTTATACATATTTTTTCATCATTCAGTGATTATTTTGTTATTTTGTGAGCTGTAGCTTCTGTTGCAAGTGAAATAGAAATAGATATTGGTATGTTAAGTTAGTCGACTGCGCCGTTGCAACACCAATACAAATACACCAAAAATTTGTTGCAATCCGTTGCGTGCCGTCACAGCCAGCAGCCGTCACACAATCACACAAACATAAACACACATACACACATGCGCAGACACTCACGAACACATACAGCGACGCATGCGCTGCAACATTTACAAGTTTGTGCATGAGTGCAGGTGTTTCTTCGTGTGGTTCGGTTGTTTTTTTTTTTGTGTGCCGCCAGTTCGCTGCGATCCCTAGACGAGTGCGCGAGTTTTGTGCGTGGCGAGTCGTGAGTGAGTTTTCCAGTTCGGAAATTTAACGGAAACCGGCCACGCTTTCATCATTATCATCATCAGAGAGAGAGAGAGAGAGAAGAAATATAATGCATGACCGTTAAAAATTCGCAAGCTCAGCAAATACGTATACGTATATCATATTTTTTTTTGTTTTGTTTTGTTTCAAGTGTTGCACCAAACAAAATAACTAGAACTAATTGAAAGTTGAACACCAAAACACAAAAACAACAACAACAATAACAATAGCAGCAGCAGCAGCATTAACGACAACTGGATTAACGAGAAATTGTTGCTCGGTAAGTTTGATTTGCTGCAAAAGGGGGTGGAGGCTTGTGCAATGCACGCATAGACATGTACGGACATGAACGGACATGTTCATCGTCGTCGTGCGTCGTTACATGTCGCAGCATAAAAACAAAAAAAAAGAACTTTCACTGTGGGCACCCCAATAAAGACTTGTTGAAGCGTGCATGGAAAGCTTCAGTGCGATTATTTTCAATTTTAACTGTTTTTAAGGGAGTGCTACATACATACATGCAGAGCTACAATTATTTATACTTTTACCTAAATACGTACAGTGGTTCACAGCTTATTTCAACCAGCACCTTAAAAAAAGTTTGTTGGGCTATAAAATCTAAACTATTGAGGGTATCCCGAAAATTTAAATGTAGGTTGTTAGTGTGATGCTTAAACTAATAAAAAATCAATTCATTTATTTTTTAAATATTTTTTCAATATTTAATAATGTTTAAAAACTAAAAAATGAGACCAAAACAGTTCCACAGCTTATTTCAACCACAAACTTTGCAGCTGATGAAAGATCCGTTATTTTGCAATGCAACGGTAGATTCTTGTTCTATGCTTTATTCACTGTTTTCGCATTGTGATAAAATAAATTTTTGCAGAATTTTGAAAGCTCAACTTTCAGAAAAGTGAATTTAGCAACATGGGACCACGCACACCTATTGAGCAGCGGGAACTCGTTCTCAAACACTATAAAAATGGTCATTCCCGTAGAAAAATTGCTGAGATGGTTGGATTTAGTGATTCTACAGTTCAAAGCATCATATACCGGTTTGTCCGTGAAAATAGAACCCACGATAAAGGCAGAAATGCTCCAAACAAAATTTTTAATCCCACGGACGAGCGCTATATTGTGAGAAAAATCCGGGATAACCCAAGGATATCGGCTCGACAAGTAGCCAATGATGTTAAGGAGGAGTTGGGCAAGTCATGCCACCCAGAAACTATTCGCCGTGTGCTTCGGGAACATGACTTTAATGGCAGAGTACCACGCAAGAAGCCTTTTATAAGCGACAAAAACAAGAAGTGTCGCTTAAAATTTGCCCAGGAGCACTTGCACAAGGACATTGGATTCTGGAATACTGTTTTATTTTGCGATGAGTCCAAATTTAATTTGTTTGGGTCGGATGGGCCCTCATATGTGTGGCGTAAGCCTAACACAGAGCTTGACGCAAAACATTTGAGGGCTACAGTAAAGCATGGCGGAGGCAGCCTTATGGTTTGGGCCTGTATGTCAGCAGCCGGCGTTGGGAACTTAGAGTTCATTGAGACTACGATGGATAAAGGCAAATATCTTGATATTTTGAAGTCCAATTTAATTCAAAGTGCTCAGAAACTGGGCATAAAGGAGGACTTCAGATTTTATCAAGATAATGACCCGAAACACACTGCGGGAATTGTCCAGACTTGGTTGATCTGGAAATGTCCGCACGTTATGAAACCACCAGCCCAGTCACCAGATTTAAATGTAATCGAGAATTTGTGGTCGATTTTGGAAAAAAACATTCGCAAACACAATATATCCAACAAATCGGACCTAAAAGCTGCATTGGTTGAAGAATGGGACAAAATTACTCCAGAAGTCACCAAAAAGTTGGTTGAATCTATCCCAAAAAGACTTAAAATAATAGTTAACCAAAAGGGTGGTCACACTAAGTATTAATTTCTTATTATTTTATGTTATTTTAGTGTTATATAATGTTATTTCATAAGTGGTTGAAATAAGCTGTGGAACTGTTTTGGTCTCATTTTTTAGTTTTTAAACATTATTAAATATTGAAAAAATATTTAAAAAATAAATGAATTGATTTTTTATTAGTTTAAGCATCACACTAACAACCTACATTTAAATTTTCGGGATACCCTCAATAGTTTAGATTTTATAGCCCAACAAACTTTTTTTAAGGTGCTGGTTGAAATAAGCTGTGAACCACTGTATATGCACGCATACACATATACTAACTTACATATTAAGTATTTACAGGGTATCAGTAATGTCTTCGTGCAGCAGTGGCTTTTTAGAGAATATTTTAAGAGTTTTATTAACTAATTCATTAAATTTATTTAAACAAATAATATATTATGTTGTTACAACAAAAAAACCTGGAAAGGCGCAAAAAAAGTTTTCATACCAACAAAAAAAAATAAAAATAAAAAATAAATCGAACTTTTAGTATTTGTAGAACAGATTACACTAGTTTATCTATATTTTTTATATTCACATACGAAGGTGATGGTGCCACCTCGTTGCGCCAAGCATCTAGGTGGCTCTCCGATCATAAAGCATATATATTCTGAAACTGGAGCAACAGCCGAGTTGGTCTAGCCATAACCATATCTATTCGTCTGCCCGTCCACAATTACAAACTTGAAGTTTTGAATATAGATTCTCGATTTGTATTTGTTCTTATGAAAGAGATATATTTGTTATATGTACACTTGTCTATATATTTACATAAATAAGCTTTTCATAAGGTAAACAATGATTCCAAGCTCTGTTGATCTGTTTTTGCAAATGTATGTCTTGTATATTATGTAACGCACACACACACAGTCATTCGGATGCAATTACATATCAAATTTTTTCTGTTTAATCATGCGATGGAAATTTTAATTTTCAAAAGTTTCTTCTTGATTTCTCTGTCATTTACCCTAGTTATACCTGGTAACGGAATTTCAGTAAAACAAAATTTATATACAAATATGAAAAAAATATATATAATGAAATATTTCAGCTTTATGTCTCTAGTTCGCACACGCTCTCTCACTTTCTCTCTTTCCGTCTTCCTCTTAATAGGGCAGGTAGCGCAAGCATACCTTGCCCACCGGCCAGGTAAAAACAGTAATTGTGACACGAGACGAGGTGCCAACAGCCGCATGTGTTCTGTGTTAACTTGCTTCGTACCTGGGCACTGATCCGGTCGGTTCCTTTGTCTCAGTTCCTCTTGTACCTTTATCACCTAGCTTGAAATACATTCACATATCTGCTACCTTCTGCAAATTGTAATCTGGGTTTGGCTGTTGCAATTCTGGTTTGTGCTGGATCAAGTTGCATCATTCACAGACATTCGATTTGCAATAAAATTCGTTGAACAATAAATTTGTGAGGGGAGCAAAGGGTACACGATATATTGAAATCAAGACGTATGTATGGTATAATGGATTTGTAATGGTCCAAAACGAAGGCTAATTATATATAAAACATATATTATAACTTATATATAATAAGAGCATAGAGTAATGATTAAAGTTATTCAAGAATATATTTCGCCACTACAAGAAGGGGAAGTGTGTATCTATACTATTTCCCCAAAGTGCTCAATGTATTTGCCAGCCGGACATTCCCACGACACAAACTAAGAAAGTAGCTTTAACATACACTCATAGTGTTCAGGGTATTTGCTAGTCGAGCACTCTCGAAATGTAAACTACAAAAATAGCTGTACAATTTGCTCAAAGTGTTCAGAGTGTTTGCTAGTCGAGCACTCCCGAGAGACAAGCCACAAAAGTAGCTTAACCATTCGCTCATTGTGTTCAGGGTATCTGCTAGTTGGGCACTCTCGAGACACAAAATGTGTTAACCGCTCGAATTCTAGGAAAGTCAACACGGTTTGGAATTTCGGCTGCTGGAAACTTATGGTTTATTGTTTTGAAATGCAGTTTAAGTGCGGGTTTGGGCCGCGAGATAGAGGACAACGGATTGCAGCTTTTAACACATGAAATTAAATAACAACACTTTTCGCCAGCATTACAAAAACAACAACAACAATAGAAGGTAGAATAACAAACACGCTTCAACAAAAAGCTGAACAATTGTTCGGTCAGTTGGCTCGTTGAGCTGAGGTGCAACAGAATAAACTTTGAGAAAAAAAAAGAGAAAATAAATGGAATGGATTTTGCAATGCTCTGCTTGTCATTCTATAAGAGAATAGAAGAAGGAAATAAATCGAAAATGTATTCAAATACGTAGAGCAATCGTAAGGAACATTTCATGTTTCATGCGAGTTCGATGCGTGTCTCTTTAACTTAATGTATGCAATTTGCTATTTCGCATGCCATTTGAAACTGACATTAAATAGTTTTCCATTTTACAGTTAGTGGAGAGAACGTCCTCCATGTAATTATGCATGCCAGCACAGGCGAGGGTATCAGACAGGGGTCACAAAACAAAACAAAAAAATGTGGAAGAAAAATAAAGATGGGAAATCCAGACGATTCGAGTCGAAAAATATACAAACTAAAAGCCGGATGGATTAAATTGGGATTTATGCACAAACGCACTCGTGAACATATATATATATATATATATATATATATATATGCATGTGTAATGTTCGCTTTCTAGCTTTACCTTTGCCTCGCACCTACCCTTGGGCAGGTTCACAGTTTTTACATTTCTCCGGCGCTGTCTCATTTTTCGGGGCAGATAAAAATGTTGAAACAGTAACCAAGGTAATTCCCAGGAGGCACAGCCAGTAAAAATGGCAGGATAACTGTGACTTACACACACAGACATACAAGCACTGACACTGACGCAGACACACACTCATACCTCACGTGAACGTGAACGTGTGTGTGTGTGTGGGGCTGCAACTTTCTAGCTCTCATTCTGAGATTTACAGCATTTGCAACCGCACCAGGGGCATGGTCAAGTGGGTATAGCTGGAGGAGAGAGAGAGGCCGACGGCTTGTGATGCCAGCGTATGCACTTTTTATGTTAGTCAGCAAATTGGACGGCGCTTTCCGCACATTTTGTTGCAGCATGCAAAGTTGGGCCACAAGTTGCCCCCGGAAAGCCTGCAAACACAAGCAAAAACAGCAGTAAACAGAGACGGAGACAGAGGGAGAGGGAGAGGGAGACAGAGGGAAGAGACAGCACAACAGCAAAGTATCAGAGATATGAGTTATGTTTTGCTCGGCATGTTGTGATTGTTGCATCAGTAATAAAGTGAGCATTACACATGGTCGAGACTGCTCGACGTAGCATATTATC